GGACCACCACGGGAAATTGACACGGTTCACAGCCACGCAAACATCGCCGTGTAATTATCGACGTCAATCGTCAGTTCGAAAGGCAAATCGAGTGGCGGAAATTTTCTCGTACGAAAATGACGATATCCATGTAAACATGCGCGCAATTGCTTTTGTAAATAGAATAAATACAAAATAATGCAACAAGATGTCTATATTATGTAAATTGTTGTAGGAAAGGTTGCGAGGAATTCGGATCGCTAAATTCACAAAATAATACATGAAGTAAATTTAAATATTTCGAGGGGCATATATATATATGTGTGTGAGATATGAGTATTTTCATTCAAACATATTTTGAAGTGCATGAGTCTCATCACGGTCAATATTATTGTGAAATAATTCATATTGTGCGAATTCGTTGGGGATTTGTATTGAGAATTCGGTCAATACACGAAAACAATAAAAGCAAGTTTGATCTTTATTGAAGTTTCGTCGATACATTGTAACGTGCACGGAGAAACATTGCACAACGTCATGCCAATGTGAGTTTACTAGAGCCGGTATAGTTATTGGAAAAATAACTGATAGGTATCGTAATGCTAATAAATTTCAAATCCGTAAAAGCATTTCCTCAATAATGTTATATAATGTTAAGACAGTTTACATTTTCTAAAGTTTACATTTCAATTGCTATAATCTTTTTTCATTAAATTGTCGATTGTTTTATTTTTTCTTTTCTATATAGTGGATTGCAATGATTACATAATTTATATATCAGTTGAAATATTACTTCGATATTTTAAATTATTTGATATTCAAATCGAAGACAATCTTGTACAATCAAATTCGATCTCGGGTTTTCTTTCTATGATATAATTGACCCGATATATTTTCTCAACAATAACGATCATTTGAAGAAAACAGAAATTAATCGTTCTATTATCAGATGAAAAGATAGAAATCACAAAGAAATGGGAACTGCTACCTCTTCGATAACAATTGAATGGTATCCGAACAGTGAAAACTGTAGCGGACTTTCTTGAATCTCTTCAATAGCGCTACATTTTCTCGTGAGACGTATTAACGATCCGACGAGCGCGAAGTGACGTTTGAGATACGTTCCACCGTCGTTGGAGGAATCGTCCGAGTTAAATTCTTTATAAGGGACACCGTGGAATGTCGAAGTATCCTTGAGTAACAGGTCAAGGATCGCTTCTCTCGACTTCGTCGATGCAATCGGCGCATCCGTTCGGCGATGGAAAAGTATGTTCGAGTGGTAATAAACCGAGATTGCACGCGTGTCATGCATACATGTGCAATCGAGATGTATCTCTATAAAAATTTAGGAACGTAGATTCGAAATATCACGTGAATTCCAATGAATTTCAGCCTCGAAAAGTGAAATTTTTACTATAATTTTATAAAGAGTCTCGATGTTTCATGTATTGTATGAATCAATTCTCAAATAAATAAATAAATATTTTTTTTTAGTTTACTATCTGTTTTAGATTATATTTTCAAAAAATTTTTACGAATAAGCTCAAAGCAAAAACAAATATTTCGAGAAAAGTGATATACGATCAAGTTATGCGTCAGTTGACTTTTGAAATATTTGACAGTTAAATCTCATATTTTTAATCGTCAAGAGAACTAGTATGATTTTTCATTTTTAAAAGTATTTATTAATTTTTTCAAATCTATACAAAATTCTATTTTTACTTATGGATTTTTAATGACAGTTTTATAATTAATTTAGAAACGATTAATCTTTAACAAAACGAAATTTTAAAAATAATTTAGAAACGATTAATCTTTAACAAAAAGAAATTTTAAAAATAATTAACAATTTCTGATACGTGATTTATAAGCAGATGTCTTAAGCTGTCAAGAGCTGTCAGAGAAAAAGTTATCAAGATTATTTTTGTGTTTGATTATCAAGTGTGCCAACCTTATCGTCTTCTTTTTTGAGGCCTCCGCCTGAGTAACCATCGAGCCTTTGCCTAATTTGTTTAAATCACCCATTTCTTATTCAAGACACGCATACACCACGCGACAGATTGATTGGTGCGCTGTTTTTATTTGTAAAATGTCGCTGTTTGCGAAATCTGTTCGCGTAGATAGTCGATTGCTAACCGAGCAATTCACCAATTGCCGAATCCTTCATCATCATCTCTATTAATCCATTGTTTGTGATCCTTTTCCCAGATTTTCGACTCTTTAAGATAGATATAATATTGATAATATTGAATAAATAAAATATATATATATATATTATATATATATATATATTATATATATATATATATATTATATATATATATATATATATATAATATATAAATATTTTCTTTCTTTTAAATATTTAAAAATTATTATCAAAAATGATTCTTTGTTGTATAAAAATGTGATTAATCGTGATGAAGCGTAGTAGCGTAGTAGTACTATTGTTGAATTGTCTATGAGAAAAGTTCCACAGTTTATTTTCATATAAAAGTAAACTGTTTTCCAGAAAGCTCAATGAATTTTCATGAGTTATCTTCCTTCCGACATTTCTACTTAATGCAAATGTTTAAAAAAGAAGGTTAAATACGAAATGAATTCAGAAAAGATATATTTTTAGAGTTATAAAAGACTTCGTGTTATAATCTAAGATTCATACAATATTTTTGTTTATACATATTATTATACAATATTTGTTTATATCTATTATATACTTTTAATATAAATTCCAAAAACGAATTGAAATATCTTAATTTATATATTTCATTAGATATATTTTACATTTTTATGTTAATAAGTTAATAATATAAAATAATTGCATATATTTGCTTATTACACGAAACAAGGTATGTTCGATAATTTCACACGAAAAATGGATATTCCTTAAGTAACTAATAATCATATGATTTAGCCCATTTAGTAGACTCCTCCGAAGAAATTTATTAAATCCTTCCCTTGTCTGTCCTCAAGTCTTTTGTCATACTCTATCCTCATCCCTATCAAGGGTCCCTCAGGACGCCCATTCCAGCTTTTTCCCCTCCAGGGATTGGCCCAGTTTTTCCACTCTGCTCACGATGCTCCCGATTTGTACCACTTTTGCCCAGACGAAAACGGCGCGACTATCTCAGAAAGTCTACACTCTATCTTCCGATAAAAATAAATCGCGAGTGCCCAGGCAGTTAATGAGATCGATAGAGCTGTTAACGTGAGCGGATAAACTGGGAACGGCAGCTTTTTCATATTATTTTCCAGAGAATTATTTTCCGATCGTATTAATTTCGTCTGTCTATTCGGGCAACAGATAGACAGCCCGTTTATATAGGAATTTCTCTTTCGAAATGCAAAATATAATCCAGATATTATGGATATGTAATTATAACGAAAAGAGCTAAATATAAAAAGATATAAAAGTAAAAGTTTATAAGATTTTTTCATTATTTTATTACGTAATGCTAACTTAAAAATATAAAAATATAAAGCATTTTTTATCAAAATAATGAAATTTTTTTATATTTCATGATAAAAGCATGTATCATCTTAATTAGTATGCATGTGTGAATTTCCCGTTTGTAGCATTTTTTAAATATCGTGTTATACATTACATATCTTTCTGAAGCAATAGTTTGAAAATTCACCGACAAATATCTCATAATGCAATCTAGATTAATATCAAAATAAGAGTAAATGACATAATCATGATTCCGGATGTATATGTATATGTATATATTATATATTACATAAATAAATAGGTATTGTCTGAAGTAAATATCTGCGAAATTGTTTTCCGGTTAGTAGAATCAAGCTAACTTACTGATGTAACTATAATAATTAAAATGATTCATGCAAGCTCTTTATGCTGACATCGTGAAACAATTTTAAGCCCGGATGTGGATGGAAGATTTGCAGTACAGAATGTCACAATGTGTATTTTACGTACCTACATAGAGAGTAATAGAATACATATAATGTTATATATACGGTAATCATGTACTAATTTATATTAAACTTTTGTCTTATTATTAGTATTTAAATTTTAGGTAACTCTGTAAGAAGTATTTTTCAGATATTTATTCACTTTATATCATTCCTATAAAATGTATCATATCGAAAAACCAATAGGAGATTGAGAGAGAGAGAGAGAGAGAGAGAGAGAGAGAGAGAGAATCTTTAATGTATTTAAAATTATCTTTAAATAAATCTATACAAAAAATATATATGTATATAAATAATATATAATAAACATATATAAAAATGTATATATAGAGCCTGTTTTATATATAGATCTTGTATCTGCTTTTTATTTATTGTTTCTTTTATTATTTGCATCTATTTATATTTATTAAATTATTCATATTAAAAGTATATGCACATCCATATAAATATTTATTTTTACAGAAAGGATCAGCTTTTTTAGCTTTTTTCATTTTTCCGCTTTTCATTACAGAATTCTGTACATTATATACATACACACACGTGTATACATTATATTCGTGTGTGTGTGTGTGTAATGCACATAATTCTATATTAGAAAGTCAAAAAATGTACATCAGAAAAGCTGATTTTCTCTGCAAAAATAAAAATTTATATGGATGTGTATATTTTTAATATAATTAATAATTTCACAAACAAAAATAAATATATAATAAATATGTAATAACGACAATAGAAATTTGCGTGTAAAGTGTAATGTAAAATTACATTTTTAGTGTTCACATACAGGCATAGCTTTCAATTTAAAGAAATATAAATTGTCTGTTTCAAAATTATATAGTAATTCTTTTTATCGTAAAAACTTGAACTTATGAAATGCGTGAAATCTTTAGAATTCAGAGAGCGAATTTTCTTACAAATTCTCACGAATAATCCCGCGCGAAACGGATTGCTACTTACTTTCGCTTCTCTTCGCGTTTAAACTGCGCGAACAATGGGAACGTAACTAGTGTCGCTATCTATCGGGAGTCTCCGGCACCTCGCGGCGCCGCAGACGAGCGACACAACAGACGTAAGAGGGACACGCGTAATGCGACAATGGCGACCTGAGAAGAATCGTGGCGTGCGTTATCTCGCTTCCATTACTTCAACAGTGCGACTCAGCAGTGCGTGAAAGTGCGAAAGTGCGGTTATCGTGATCGTGTACGCGCTAGCGTGAATGCGTAGCCCGTTAACGTCACCGAGGAGCGCGTTTTTCGCGAGGCGCGAATCGAAATCACGAATCTCCGCATACCTCTCGTCCCACCGAGGTCAGCAAGACGGCAATCGACACAGCCGCGATTCATGGTGCTGGTGTGTCTCGTCGAAAAAACGACCGAGCTATGGGCACGTTCGCGTCGTCGCCTAACCTATAATGCGCTGGTGAGTAAGAGAACGCAGATCGCGCGTCGCATTTGCGCAAATGACACGAGAAGCTCGACCGGCTTTTTAAATCGCCCGGTGCTCCGAGACCGAGTGCGCGATCTACGCGCTGCACTACGCTTACGCTACGCCATGCCATGCGTATACACACACGCACGCACACATAACGAGGCTGCGGAGGCGCCTGCGGAGATCTCGACGGTGAACTCGCGTGGTTAGGTTAGTTCTGCGAGATTGCCAGGCGGAATTTATTTTGTTCCCTTTTGCACGCCGCGCGACGCGGGGTCTCCTCTATTTGTTGTATCACGGGTCTCTTATCGCCGTGCTCAAGGTACAGTCGCGTCGAAAACGCGCTCCCCGCTCTCTCTTTCTCTCTGTGTGCGTGCGTATGTACGTGTGTATATTTCACTCTCTCTCTCTCTCTCTTTCTCTCTCTCTTTCGTCTCCTGGATTTTCCGCCTCCACGTTCGTAACGGATGAACCACTGGTGCTATCTGAGGTAACGGTAGTAATTTCGTTATTTATATCGGCATATATAAATATAGACACCATGCTTCGAGAGATAAATGTATATACATGGATCTGAGATTCGTGCGTATATTTACGTAGATTATATACTGCGCTCTCTCCCCTATATTCTTCCCCTCTCTCTCGCGTACGCTAGTAAATTTATGAATGATAACTCTCATGTTGCAAGAGTAACTTTTTAATTGAACGATAATGCGATACACGTACGATGTTTTGCTATAGGAATCTAGTTCTATTCATTTATCAGTTATCGATGTATGTGATTTGATAAAACAAATTATTTTTTCGTTGATTAGTATATACAATAATACCATGAATAAAAAGCGAATACTATAAAAATGTAATTAATGATTTTATTGCGAGATATTTAGAATTATGTTCAGCTTTTCATTCTATACATATTTAGTGTAAGAAACATGTATAATGGAAAAAAATATCTTGCAACTAAATAAAAAAATTTTATATATGTATATAACTGTTTTATATATATATAAAATCTTATATTAATACATTAATTAATTAATATAGCTATTATTATATTCAATTTAAATAAATTTAATTTAATTCTTTCTTTTATAATTCTTTCAAACAATATAAAATATTATATTTAAAATATGACTAATAAATATTTGCTTAACTATAAAGTTTATAAATATGATGCGCAAATATATTAAGACAAGATATAATTATATATAGTTCTTTAAGTAAATTTATATCGCAATAAAATTTTTTTTCTTAACAGTGGATCAGCAATAATTACTTGCCACGCAAATTTAGTGGTACTGGCATGATAAAATAAGGGAAGTGAACGAAGGAAATGAGCCACAATATCGCGGGCATGCCACCCTTCACAAGGATGCCATTGGCGGGTATGGGAATGGGTGTAAATATGGGCCCAAATGCCCCACATCCTGACTCTTCTGCCCATCCTCATCCACCACCGCCACCACCAGCTGGTACTAATCCTAAGAAAAAAAGACGTACAAATTCAAATGTTGCTCAACCACCTCCACAGCAACCTCCATCTGTACAGGTAAGTTGATGTATCTTTGTTATATTTATGTTTCAATGTATTAGCACTTAATTATGATCCTGATATTAATGTGTAAATTATTTAACAGGATCTACTACCCCCACCTTTATCGGGTTATGGTGATACAATAGTAGCGAGTAATCCTTTTGACGATACACCACCACAGACTGCGCAAAGTCCAATGATGCATGGAGGTCCTCCACATATGCATCCTCATCATCCTCATCACATGGGTGGACCTCCTATGCGAGGCATTAGTCCTTTAACTTCTATGAGTGGCATGAGTCCTATGATGCCACATAATATGGGCAATATGAGCCCTATGGGTAATTCACCCATGACAAATCACATGAATCATATGGGAGCTATGTCTCCTATGAATCATGCTCCTCTTGGTGGCATGAGTCCTATGAATAACATGGGGCCAAATATGCCACCTGGTCCAATAAACACTATGAATAACCATATGAATATGAGTCATATGGGAAATTCACAACTAAGCGGTCCACCTATGGGTAGTCCAATGAATAATATGAATAGTGGGCCTATGGGTAGTCCGATGAACAACATGGGTCACAATATGGGCAGTCCTATGGGTGGGCCTCTAGGTTCTCCGATGAACACTATGGGAGGATCCAACCATATGCCTAATGGACCAATGAATATGAATAACATGAATAGTCATATACCGCCCAACAGTCCATTAAATGGACCATCGCTAAACAATGTGAATAGTCCATTAGGACACAATGGATCTCAACCTCACCCAAATCATATGGGAAATAATCTTAACAATTTAGGAAGACCTATGAATGGACCTATGACTACTATGAGTTCGATGACATCAAACAATATGAATATGACTGTGCCGAATCAGATGAACAATATGAATATGGGTGGTCCAGGAATGAATATGCCTAATATGAATATTAGTCATCATAATCAAATGGGAGGTCATATGACAGGACCAATGGGTACAATGCCCAATAATATTGGCGGTGGACCACCTATGGGACATCCCATTAATTCTATGGGAGGCTCTATACCACCACATGGATTTCAAGGTCCAGGAATGGGTCCAAAGTCAATGCCAATGTCTACGGTCAAAGTAAGTTATTTTTTTTACACATGTTTAATTTATTATGGTTATATTTAGCATAATATGTAAATTATGCAAATTCACATGTGATTTATTGAATCAGGTATATCCTCCAGAGCAGTCAATGGTATTCAATCCACAAAATCCTAATGCGCCACCAATTTACCCTTGTGGAGTTTGTCACAAGGAAGTACATGATAATGATCAGGCAATTCTGTGTGAATCGGGTTGTAATTTTTGGTTTCATAGGTAAGTTAATAGTATAACATGATCTAGTGAGATAATATAATGCCTGACGTTCAAGATAATAGCAATAGTCTTGATGAACGCGATTATTTCAGGGGTTGCACAGGATTGTCAGAACATGCTTTTCAATTATTAACAGCAGAGGTTTATGCAGAATGGGTGTGTGATAAGTGTTTGAATTCGAAAAACATACCCCTAGTTAAGTTTAAACCATAACACTTCGTGTCCCGTCGTTCTTGCGACGCTCGAGTGACTCTTTGTTAGCGTTTATATGTGGTACATGCACATATGCGCATACGATTGCGCACATACATACAGACACATCTACAGCACACATAATAATATTAGTGCACGTGCGAAATCGTGCATACAATATAAAGATTTGCTGTTTGTTAATAACTTAGCTTTAACTTGTTGAAATATTAGGGTATCATTCAAGTCGCGCGTATCAATGAATACAAAGGCAAAAATAATATTCAGAAATCACTTTAATTTCAAATCCGATTGTGTGACAAATGGGTTCGTAAAATATATATAAAATTATTAAATCAATAGAAATTTAAGTAAAATCTTTTAATAATAGAAAATAATGGCATACATTTCTTTATTTTTACAAATTAACGTATAATAATTTAAAATATTTTAAAAGAATTTAGTTTAAAATAAAAATAGAGGAGAATTAAATATAATGTTCAATGATAATGTTATCAAATATCTAAGATTTGCAACAAACTTAGTATTTCTAATTGCATTTAATTCAAAATTAACAGTAACTACATATATTCCATATTAATAACAGAACATATATTATTAGATACAATCAATAAGCAATTGCATTGTATTTATTTTATCGTATATAAACGTTCCTATAAATATTATAATGAATATTATTTTTTTTCAGTAATTCGTATGTATAATTCGCAATATTACAATTTCGCGAATAAAATTAATTTTTATGAGTACCATTTGTCATCAGAATCATCGGGCATTGATTAAAGAATTCTGCAGACTTTTAAACATCAACATATATTGAAACAACATTAACGTAAATTGTAAAAAATCATTTAATGTACAAACAATGATGACATTTGATTAATAATTTTATTATATATGATCAAATTATTTATATATCGAAAAATAATATGTGAAATTGTATGTATATTTGAAATTATATATATACAATACACAGGTCATATATTTAAACTATTTTTTGTTTATTGCAATTGAATGTATCGCCTTTAACATATAGATATATTTATTGTGATAAACACATTACATACTGAAGATTGACATAAGAGTTTGTCAAATCCTATTTTTATTGTTAGATCTACATGTTTTATTAAACTTAAGTGTATGACTCACAACAATCAGTATGAATGGGCTAATTCCATTCAAGAAATGAAGTTATATAAATTCAAATGCAGTATTGGTACTCCCAGACGATATATCTAGAAATGCTGCAATTCTTATATTTTTATATGTCATGTATTTTAATATAAAAAAAACCATGGTAAATTTTATATTTTAGTATCTTTAGTTTATTATAGTATTATAACACTTTTTTAAATTTAAGTGAAAATAATTTTTTATTAGGTTAACATTATTTTTATATAAAATAAAAGAAAAAGAAAAATGTGAAAACAATATGATGAAAAGCTTTTTATATGCACAAGATAAATGTGTTATTCAGTATTTTTCTGAAAAACTTTAACAACAAATTTGATGGAATGCATTAGTGTTGGTACAATTAAAGATTATGATGTATAAATTGTGATGTAAAAAGGTATGCATTAGTACCTAAACAGATTTTGAACTGACAAAATGCTCAATATAATTTACATTTGATAAAATATATGTTCAAGATATTTTAATTAAATTACTTTATGTTTTTAATAAATGAAAAGAGAGAAAGAGATAGTTTAATTGTACAAGAAACTTTAATTTGCACCAATATGTACCAATACAGCCAAATTTGCTATAAAAAAATGCATACTAAAATACAATCTATAAAATATTTGATTATATTGTTGCCATGGTTTGTCTTGATTTGAGTTATATGCAATTATATTAAGTTGTTATATTAAGATATAAGAACTGTATATCTTTCTAAAATTGTGTAAAAATTTTAATGAAAATATTTTATTTTATCAATTAATCCCCTTACAAAAATCATTTACGCACATAAGAGGAATTTATTTGACTGACATAAACATACAACTTTTCTACTATAACAGGAAATTTGATGTATAGGAAATAGATTCAATATAAATCTTGATATCTGGGCAAAGAATTAAACATAATTTGCAAAAATTTAACATTAATGAATAAAATTATAATATTATCAAAGTTGCGACTTTTCTGCAAATATTCATTTCCATGATTGATCTGATAATTTATATTTTTAAATTTGATGATGCAAATAAGGGCTGTTGTACAAAAATGAACATGTAAATTGGATAAATGAAAGTACAAGTTACATTGTCCAATAAATATGTTCATTTCGTCATTTAAATTGCTTATGTTGTGTCCATTTCTGTACTTAGATAAAGTAATATGCAACAGACTTTTTAATCTACAATCAATTTATTATTAAAAAACCCAGCTATTTTGAAATAAACAAATAATATTTCAAATTTACATTACATTATAAAGAAATCTTAATAAATGCACACTTAACAATTTTCACTAATTAGCATAATCTTTAGAATTTGCCAGATATATAATATCGAAGATATAAATATTGAAAAAAATTGAATATTATTTGTCATAGAAAATCAACCATTAGAAGAAAATTGAATTCAGTCGGCAGCTAACACAAAATTATTGTATGAATGTATTAATTGTATAGTTTTTTATATGTATATGAAATATTAGCATACAGACAAACAAACACTCATACACGTGTGTATGTGTGTGTGTGTGTGTGTGTAATAGAATTTTTTAATGTTGTGTTAAACGGTGATTCAACTTGACGCAGAAATTTATCAAAATAATTAGTATCTTTAGCTTGATTGTAAGTTAAAATTTATTTTTAATCTAAAATTATATAAATTAATAAATATATAATATATATATATATATATATATATATATATGTATATATATAAAATATGTACACACACACATACACACATACACATACATTCATATATATATTTAAATTTAATTTTAAATCAAGAAACACCTCTTATTAAGAGTAAAATTCTTAATGTAAAATTAAAGAATACTTTAATTATTCGCAAAGTCTTTGTATAATTCAAGCTTGTTTTACTATAATTTTAAAACACACACATAATATACAACACTTGTGCGTATTATATATGAATGACATACACAAAATCCTATAATTACATAATGCTCATATTAGTATTACAACGAATAGAGAATACCATCTTCACATATCTTCTTTCTATATTTTTTTCTTATGGGGAAGGTCACATTAAAACTTTTTAATATTGCTTTTATTACGAAAGTTAAAAAATGCAGGGGATTACAGATTACTTATTATACTTTTATACAAATAACAGCCAGTAACATCAATGATTGAGGTAGCGGAAGGAATCGTTTTCTAGTACAAAATGAGTGACAAAGTAATGAACTGTAATTTAAGTGATAATGTCTAATCTTTCACATAATTAAATTATAAATGATATAATTTTAAACAATCTTGCTACATGTTTATTCATACATAGAGCATGCATGTTTCAAATATATATTTTTTATAATTCTTTTTTAATAATAATTAAACGTTTGGCAATAGCTTAATTCCGCCCCTGCCCCTGTAAAATCTGTTTAAAACAAATGCATTTTATATATGTCCATTTGTCTCATTACTTCCTTAAAACAGTTACCTTTATTTTCAATGAAAATGTACATATATCGAAACATGGTAACTTTTTAACGGAGATGGAAATTTTCGTATGAAATATATATATTTACTTGAGTTCTCTTTATGTAGTTCTCTCTAAGCGCAGTATGCAAGCTATCATAAATATGTATCTATTGACTTTATGTACATAAGCCTTTCTATATCTAAGACTTAATATGGTGGGAATCAAATCTCTGAGACGCGCAAATATTCGTCGCAATCACAGTGATTTTATGTAAATAATATATATCACGTTAAAAAAAAGAAAAAAAATGATTCACCGATCGTAATATGTTGGATGTATTCGCACTCTTGTTCTTACGATAATTCTTCAATATTGAAGGCATAATTTATAGTCGAAGGGACCTACGTTACATCGCTACGTGCGTGGATTCTGCAAAATTACACCGCTATTATTTTATATGTGTTATAAACGAAGAAATAAATTGTAACTTGAAAAAAAGTCCTATCGTACGTGATTTAGAAATTTAAGAGAAAGAGTAATGTGCTCTCTCTCTTATCATTAGGAATTCGACGTATTTGTATCACAGTTTATATTTTATATAATGATTATATTATTATGCTCCGTCGAAAAAGTAGGACTTTGGATTCTTAATTATATACATTAATTATATATATCGTAATACTTTAGGAATATGTGCAGGTATAATGCGTTGATTGCGATACAAAATGATAAATGAGAGAAAAAGCTACATAAAGTATAGCGGTGAAAACGCAGCGATGAAACGATATGGACGCAGTATCATGAACAAGGCAAAACCATCATGCGACAAAAATTGTTCATAGATTATTTTTTATCTCATGTGAATACAGAATATATATATCAGCAATAAAAATTGTTATATATATTATAGACTGGCGTACCTATGTGGCCATTTTACATACGTAACAACGCGTACGTAACTCCCACATTTAAGTGATGCGCGTGTACATGTTCACTCATATCTATTGTACATATTTATATGGCACTTTAAATAACAAGTCGATACATTGTTGATTTTTATAATACTGTTCTCTACCTTGAAAATAGCATCCGCTTACACACCGAAATATGTGTTTTAATATTTGTTGGACTTTTTTGGATATTGCATAAACTATACAGCTCATTTCTTTTTTTACTAATTTTTTTCTTCAGAATAAAAATTTTATAAAGTATTTTTCTCTCATGCGCAATGATATATATATATATATTTAATGTAAAGTATTTTATATTTCTCAGTATATTTTACGAATCTTATTGTTTTGCTTCATTTGCGTGTGTGCAATCGATGTTAGCAAAGTTAATGGTAAGAAGATCATAAAATGTTATCGCTTTAAAATAATTGCCTAAATTTTCTTCTAATCATAGTTTTATATTAATCGCTTTTATATTTTTCGTAAATGTAATTTTTTCTTATATTATTATAAGATGCTTTTTTTCATTTTCTTTTCCATTTTCCAAAAAATCCATTTTATCTTTAATGGTAGATGGCAACGCGTCGATTCTAGAATATAATTTTGTTATAATTATATTTTATATAATATCGTAATTATATATTTTTAGTTAATATCACCAGAAAAAATATGTGAAATCGTAATAGATACCAATATAAATGTGTGGCTTTCTTTGATTTCGATGAATGAGAGGCTTCTCTTTTCTCCAGCATATGCAACCGCACGGTATTTGACAATGTTCGAGCAATGTGAGCTTTTGTTATACGATTCTTATTAACAGAATTCATGTCTTCCACCCATAATTTTTGTGGGATTTTTGGACGAACATAAACAAGCGCCTCATTACAAGTTATCCACGAGGCTAATTTAAAAAGTAAGATTTTTAGGTATACGTATAAAGAATTGGATACAAAATATAATTTACAGAATATTACAAATATCAATACGCTTACTTTTGTTTGAATTGTTGATTTCGTGATTTTCCATCTTGTGCTAAAAAAAGATGCGTATATTTTATATCTTTTAAATATTATATTTATATTTCATTTTGATTACAAAAATATATATGTAAAAGATTTAAATTGATCTAGATCTGAATCTTGATTCGATGATTTTTTTTAGAAAGTAAATTTTGATTCATATGAATATAATTACATTATTTCCTTTCAAGGGACATTGTATGCATTGGTCTGTGGACAGTGTACAGTTATTTTGGTGACGATGAAGATGATGCTGCGCAGAGGAACACATGCTATTATTATTCGCATGTTGCCCGAGTCTGCCGTATAATCCGTATTTTCTCTCGTCGGCAGGTCGTAGCGTGCCATTCTTTTTCATCGCCATGTATATCTGCTCGAGTATACCATAACTCTTGATGAGAAAATCCCTCTGTGCCAGAGCCGTTATTCGCTCCCTCTCCTCAGATTCCGATATGATTTCAGGCTCGAAGGAATACAACGTGTTGGTAGAAAATCCCTGTGCGTCCTGTTTATTAATCTGCGAAAAAATAAGAAGATATAATACGCTTGCTCATTTCTTGCTTTCTTCCTTAGATAAAGGAAAATCTCCCATCTCATTTAACAATGACTTTTTTTTATCTTCTGTGAGACGTCATATTCTAATGGGAAATAATTATTTTCTTTTAATTTTCGCCAACAGTTTCGCGAAGAAATGAAGAAGCATTCCTTTATGCAGATGACAGTTAAACTTAAATGAATTATTTCAAATACTCACGTTTTTTCTTAGCACACCTGCAGATTTGCTCTTCTCTTGGAATTTCTTCAATGCACTCGAACTTTCAGAGCCTAATTTCTGCTCGCTCCATTTCCTGACTATTCGTTTACGTTCTTCTTCCTTCGCTTTCAGCTGAAACGTGATGAAATTAAAGCTAGATCGATGAATAATAGATAACAAGCAGCTGTCCTATTCATGCCAGTCTCTTACATTGCAAAAGTTTTATAGTATTAGAAAATTAATTACTTTTATATACATATATAATTTTATAATGTACATTATTCACATCAGATATTTCATAGTATGAGTTATGTGATATCAACTTTGATATAATATTAATGTAGACAATTCTTATAAACTCTTTATCCATTGATTTTAAGAGATCAAATTATAAAATGAGAGAAAATTTTTACTTCGTTTTCTTCTCTTTCTATTCTCGACGCTTCCTCTCGCGCTCTCGATGCCACCGTATCTTGGAAAACGGAAAGCGTATTCTGCGTGAAGAAAGATTGGTACTTATCCTCGGTAAGACACGGATAAATTCTTCGAAAATTGCCCATATGATCGTCTTCCCACTGAAATTGTCTCTGCATATAATCATTCTCGTTCTTCACGGATTTTGTTGAAATTGTCGTATCATTAGTTTGACTGCACATCGTATGCAATATTTTGATTTATTATAATATCAGATTTTTATTACATTTTGAATGCAGTTTATAGATATAAATCGTATTATGTTGTCTCTAATATGCAATTTCTACCTGAAATCCTTTCCATTTATGCCTTGAAGAAGTCGCTCCCTGATTCGCTTTTTGTCTTCTTCTATTATTTTCTTTTTGTTGCACTGTTGCAGATTTAATATATCAAAAGTATCCATCAACAATCCTTCCTTTACGTCTTTATCTATTTGTGCATCTGTATGAAAGCTTGGCGAGTGATTTACCTGATAGATGTACTAAATGTAAAGGATATGCTTAATAACGTTTCCTGTACATATAAGTTTTTGAGGGAGTACCTCGAGAAGGTAGGGTTTAAGTCTCCAATCGAGTAAAATGTCAAATCCCAGCAACTCGAAACAGGCATAAGTTTTATCGTGCATTGAAAAGCACGCATGGTAATTGTGTTTCAATATAGGATACGCGGCGACTAAGGTTTTTATTATAATTCCATCGATCTTGCCCCACAGATCATCCACATCAATATCTTTCCCTTTTAGCCATTTATTGAACGTTGATATTTTTCTATAAAATACAATTTGTTATTCTGTCAATTCGCATTTTATCTTATTATCGATTCTACAGATCGAAATACATGAACCTCTTGCTGCCAATCTCGTCATCGATGACATACATCCGGCTATGCTTGTTAACGGAATAATTTGTCAAATGCATGAACATGTTAGAAGTATTATAACCGGTTGGTTCCTTGTACTTGCTGGTCGCAAATCTAAAAGTGTAATATTTTTTAAAGCTTTTTATAGTATGTCAAATGTATACGTTGGAAAAATAAATATATATTAAATTGATATATTTGCAAATATATATTCGTTAATATAATTTTATATTTAAAAAATAATAAATAAAAGTTATTAAATATTAATAAAATGTATACATTTTAATATTTAATTATATCTCTCAACATTAATTTTTTAACATTTTTTTAAACATGTCTTACCTGACGAGTCCTTCGTTGTATACATAGATCCTGAGAGGATCGCAGGATGTGATTAGTGCATAAATACGTAGATCAAATTTGTATCCGTCTATTAGGAAAGGCTAAGGACGTGGTAAGAAAAAGGGCTGTATGCATTATACTTGCTTTGCACTGCAACTGTGAAGTTTTTAATCTACAGCTGCATATATTCATCAGAAAAAATCTGAACAAATCTTAAAGAGTTTTCATATAAAAAAATAACGTGTAAAGAAAAATTTGTTTTAATTTAAAAAAAAGTTAGTCAATTCTGTCAATAAATTTTCGTGGATCTTTTTACTGAAAATTATTAATGTTTCGTACCCTTGCGATATATACTTGACAGATCAAACGTTCGCTCGGTTTAATGTCCTTCAAGTGTTTCGTTAGATAAATACCGCGTCCTTGGCAGCCCGTATCTGGTTTAACGATGAAGGTTTTCGACCTCCGCGTCTTAGCATAAGCCATTGCGTCGCCGTGACTGGAATTCGAAATCTAAAGTTTCCGATTTGCTTACACGTTCATCGACGTTTGGAAAATATTGATTATTCTTTATCGCCGTAATGGCAAACTCCCTCGGAATTTATGACCGAGAACCCGAGAGCGGTCTCTTATTCGGAGAAGCAAAACAGAATAACTCATGCTTGTAAAATAGATAAGAGAAGACTTTCGATCGATAAAGAGTCGCATTCTTTATTCTTTATATGTGAGACCGATTCGTAGAATTGCAATATGATATTTTACTTTGTTAATCCTAACTATTGTTACTGAAGAAATATGCTTCCACTTAATCTGTTTTGTTTCAATTAGATAGTGAAAGTGAGAGATATATAAAACAGTCGTATAATTATCGGTTATTTAAAAAAATATTTTTGCTAATAATTAATATAGATATGTTATAAAGAATTGTTTTAATAAGGTACATATAATAAAAAAATGTTTTTATCAACAAAAACAATATCAATGTGGAATAATATTAATAGATGAATCATCTTACTCCGCGGGAAAGCACCAAGTTTTCGGGAAAAAGTTATAGTCCTTCGGGAACAGCTTCTGCATGCGATTGAGATTACGAGCGAGAAGATCCTTCCTACATATCTCTGTCATCCCGGGAAAATGATTGACTCTCTGAAATCTCTTCATGTCCTTGGCACGCTCTACGCTGACGCTCAGATCGGTCCAATAAAGATCCCAGCTGCTATCCTCCGTAACTTCTCTCATCCCGAATCGCGCAGCCACTCGTCTAACCACGTTGTATTTGCAGTTTGTCGTGCAGATTGTTAAAAATCTATTTCGTTAAAACGAAAGGATATTTTTGATTTTCGCGCGAGAAGTGTAATTCTTTTCGACATACCTCTGCTTTCTCTTTTTATTGTTAGTTTTTGACGTTTCTTCCATATTTTCTGTGAACCTCTCTCTCTCTGAATTATTTTTTCTATGCAACAAACCTATATCCAGCAAATTTCACTTATAAATCTCATGAAATAATAATGTGGAAATGATAAACAACTTGAAAGTATAAGAATTAAACTTTGAAACTTTTCAGAGACAGAATAAACTTTTTATCCTTATATATTTCAATGCGGCAAACTTGCAAGACTTAAACTATATTCAAATCATATTCAAAGCAATATTTTTTAAAGTTATAGTATTAAATTTAAAAAATAAAATAAAAAATTGTCACAATAAATTAAATCGTTAAATTAGCGTAAAAATTTATGACTTTCTTATCATATTTATAATTATTAAGAATTTGATAATATTACGTTTAGATTTTTTATTAAAGCATAATTTCAAATTTCTCTATATAACCTTATAAGGTTTGGAATTGAATGTATACCTGTGTTATTGTCTTTGTCTGTAGTAATTTTCCAATGATATAGTTCGGAATCATGCTTGGTAACACCTATTCTGTCGTTTGCAAACGATAGAACGTTTGAGGAATTGTCAGAAGCGATATATTTTCGACTTTTAAATATAGATTTGTAGGATCGCCTTTCGAAGCCGCTATCGGGCTCAGCACCGTCTGTCACACCACCGTTTCTGGAATTATTGTCTTTGGAGTCGTCTGATATCATCAGTGAGTACTTATTTCTAAATTCAATGATCATGATCGCTATTTTTCATTATTCCATTATTTCAATCGCACTGTCAACGCGCGCGATGTCACAATTAATTATTTGTGTCGAACTCAATTCGTAATTAGTTCCGTCACATTTACATTTATCACATAGAGATGCGATAAATTACTAATCGATACATTGTTAATATTTTTTATCGATAGGTGTTCAAATCATTGATAATTTTTTCATGAAGTTTCTTATAAATCTGTTACTATTTGCTATGACATCATTTATCTGTCATTTTTATGCAATTTTTACTTTCAATTTTTTATGATTAGTGATTAAGGTTTGTATAATCTTAAAAAATTTATATTTATTTAAATACGAATGGTAGTTATTTCTTCAGATTTACAATTTTTGAGTTTTATCATGTTTAAATTTTTATATTGATTATTTTCTTTTATAATATCTATTTATCGAATTCAATAGCGCACGATAATATTCCTGTAGATATTTAAATAGTGTGCGTACCTGTCAATATTAACGATTTTCAAATATTAGAGATTTTAATCTTGATAATTACAAATGCGCTATAGAAGCTCACCGATATAGATCGCACTGCGACTAGAGAAATACGCGTCGTGGACGTTCTAGCTTTACGCGACTACTGCGGCACGGTCGACATGTAAGGCATCTCGGTAGTTAGTTTGGTGCTTTAATTGCACAGCTTGACGACCATATTTAGAATTGTACAGTTACGGAAGTAATCACGACATGAAACTTTAAATAGGCTCGTGCGCCTTGCGCAGATCGAACTCGTGCGCGCGCGCTTACATTTGTTTCTTGACGTTTAATTATATTTCTTGACTTTTTACGATTGTTATGCAAAAGTCAGGTCTAAAATAAAAGTTGCAAAAATATTGATTAAATATTAAGGTTTAGGTAATGCGGATAGAAAAAGATAACAGTAATATTTATTTGTCGTCTTAGCATAAAGAAGAAGAGGCTTATGTTTCATCTAAATATAATTAAAATTGTTTCATTAAAATCTTGCATCTAGAAAAATAAGACAAAGATGTAGAAAGAATGTAATATTTTTAGTAATACAACTCTCGGAATTGTATGAAAAGAAAAGCTTGAGTAAGATTGAGCATCGCGACCGCGTGCGAATAAAAATATATGAAGGATAAAAAGTTTATTCTGTCCCTGGAGAGTTACAGTTTGGAGTTTAATTCTTGTACTTTCAAGTTTCTTATCATTTCCACGACGTCTGTGGCACACCCCCAGCACAACGTCACGCCACTTCCGCCGTGACCGTAATTGTGTATCACCTAAAGTATAAAACACGAAATGAGCATTATAAGAAACGACTCATAGACTGCGATGCTTAACATAAATGATTTGTATATACGTATTAAAGTTGAATTCGATATTATTCATGACACGACATAGCTAAGGTTGTAATATTTTATAGCAATTTACCTTGATTTCTTTTCCCATAGGTGAATTGAGCGTTTCACATTCCAAACGAACTTGCGGGCGTCCTGGTCGAAGACCTACCCATGAGCGAATTATTTGACAGGTCTGCGACAAAAATCATCAAAATGAGAAGAGAATCATTCAAGAATTATCAGTTTTCAATAGTTGAATTACGTTGGATAAAGTACTTTTAGAGACGGCATTATGCGGCAACATCCATCGTAAATGTGTTTAGAATCTTCCTCCCTTACGAAATAATCAAAATCACCTTCTTGATGCGTACCGCCCAATACAACACTATGGATGCTATAAGCAAAAACATTACAAAGAAATAAATATCATTGCTAATAACAGATAATTAATGCTTGCTTTACTTAGGAATAATGTAATTGCAAGACTCGTCATCCGCAATGAAACAATGCAGCGCCCAAGGTGCTTTTACCTTAAACAAATTTTTTTGTATTAGTTTTCTCACTTGCAATATGATAAGATAATAAAACAACAAGATATTTTTAAAAAGATTATACAGAATGTATTTTACAGAAAGAAGTAAAAATATTTTCAATGGGAAAGAGAATGATTAAAACAAGATAATTACAATTAATGTTTAAAACAAAAACAAGATAAACTCTAAAATACATAAACGAATTACGATTACTATAACTTTAATAAACTATAATTGAATTTGATTGTAAAAATTTATGTTATAATATAAATTGGAAAACTGGATTACCCTATACACCTGACCTCTAATAGGTGTCATTGTTTTATCCGGGACAAGCTCTCGTGCGCCAAGTCCGCTGCAATTTATTATTAAATCATATCCTTCCTCGGCTAATTCGTCCAATGTTCTAATCTTTCTCTTTTCCACTTTTCCGCCCAAAGCGATAAATTTTTCCATAAGCCACGGCAATAGCAAAACCGGCTCAGCGGTGTAAGTTATAAAATTCCAACCTTGTCTAAAATTGTTACATTGAAATCTCGAAAAGCGATCAGATAAAAGAAAAAATAATAATAAGTATAGTAACGAATAATATAATAATTAAAATGAAAATAAATAATTTGTTTAGGCACACAATTTTAATAATAATAATAGTTCAATTTTAATTATATGATAATTTGATTTTAAAATATTATATATATAATATAAAAACATACTTATAATTAGATTTATGTTCTTCATTCAAACGTTGTATTTTTTCATCAGTAATCTCTTGGAATCCGTAGACAAGTTTCGCCCATTTTGGATCAATGTCGTCTTTGTAATCGCTAGTAACACGAGTTACAGGTAGTAAAGAAACACCTGTTTTCGATGATAACCCAGCTTTCCACAATTGTTCAAACCATTGATGCGTGCAGCCAGCCCATCGACTAATAATATCGTATGATTAATATTATTATAATACTTATTAATTCTTAAAAATACAATTCGATTTAAACATCTTTTCATCGATTTTTCCATTTACACCATTACATTTTTATTTACTAAAATTGTGCAATTTTACTCACAATATTTTTCGCAGATACAGAAAAATACATTCTCTTAAATAGAATCAATATATTATTTTCATAAACGATTATAATTATAACATTATAAACTATGATTATAATTATAACATTATAAACTATGAAATCTCACTAACAATGAAAAGACTAGTTAGTGTTAATGATTGATTTTTTAAATGTTAAATATTTTTACTGAAAATCAGTGAAATACTCGCTAATCTTTGCTGGAATCTTGTTATTACTTTAATCAGTGATGTTTTCATTGATTCAATTTAAGATAATAGTCAATAGGTGTATACGTTATATTGTCGATAGGTGTATCGCCGAGATAGATAGGACCCCATAGACCGGCACTTCCATCACCAGTGGTGTCAGGCGAGAATGCGTCGGCAAAGATCTTCACGTCATAACTCGGAAAAGCGTTTTTCACTGTGAATGCGCTTGTTACTCCTATTACACCAGCACCCACGATTGCTACGCGCATCTTTTCACCGATTTCCACAAATACCGTTTTTCTATAGAAACTGAAACGAATGTAATTCTACATTAATATAACTCGTCAGAAATATCTTTGTTATAAAAAATAAATGTCTTATTACTACGCAATAATATCTATATCTATTTCCGATAACAGAGATTATCGAGAAGTCAGAACCGTCTTTACTTATGCTAAATGCTAAATAGAGATTTCGCAAATTCAAGTATCTCCAACAAAATCTTATTATTTTTGAAAATAATAATAAATTTTGCATTAAACATGAATTAAAAATTGTTCTTAAATATAGTATTAACGTTCATAGAATATTTATATCAATTTTTATAAGATATATATAATTAAAAAATTAATTGCATAGGTTTTTATTTTTTTATATTTTGATATTATTACTTGATTAATACTTTTAAATTAAATTAAAAATAATGAAAAGGTCAATGTTTGAACCAGAACAGCTATTAAAACGATCAGGTATTAAATTCTAAAATGTTCTTCTTCATTGGAAGTAAATATCAGAACGTTTTAGATAAATATTATAATTGAGTTCCTTAGTAAAAAGTTCAGATATTATAAAAATAGAATTGACTAAAAGAGAACCGCAAAGCACAAGATCAAAGCGTATGGTTTATTTTATGTATTCGATATATAAATTGCATTTTAGAATTCAATAATCGTGTGTTAGCAGCTGTTTTGGTTCTGATATTGACTCTTTTATTATTGTCAATTTATGATTTCTATTGTTAAAATTATGCGATCTTTACTTTAATAATTTTCTGTTACACACATTTAATTAAATATGTTTTTTATTTATTTAAATATTTTTTCTAATATATATTTAAATTTATTTGAATATGTAATGTAATATATATTAAAAATTGTTTACTTACTAAAATTGAACCACTTTTAACCTCTACCTCTAACTCTAACCTCTTGCTGCTTTATCGTATATCTTTAAATATTCACGTAAGAAATGCTACTTTTGTAACATAAAAAAAGTCACGAAAATAAAACTATAATTGCGAGGTTCTCGCGCGTCACCCAGATTTGTTCTCTCGACAGATTCAGTAAATTATAGCAATACAATCGATGCACATTTCCAACATGTAATAATAAACACAATGAGGTCGCAGGAACGATAACCTCGATGAAAGAAGATTTCTTCGATGCTGCATGTAAACATTTCATTGACGATTCTTGGATGCGAGAGAACAAATTATTAAATAACCGTGCGAACGATGAGATGCTCCTCACAATCAATAATAAATCATCGTTATGATTTGCTAAATTTGCCAAGATAAGATACAAGTGCTCTTCTTTTGATGACAATCTTACAAATGTTGAGAATGGAATATAAAGTATTCGTCGTGACAGTTTTATTTCGATCAAATAATTATCTAACTAGATTAGATTAGCTAGGTTTAAAAAATAGATTAGATTAGCTATGTTTAAAAAATATTGTGCGATTTTATTTCATTTGTAAAGAATCTACAAATACAATTTTTACATTCTCTCCTCCTCTCGTAGATTAATACACATTTACGACATCACATATTTCTAGCATAATGCCCCATAATGACACGGCTAAGTTATGCTGGAATATGGGAGCCGCAAAAATCAAATATAAAAATTCTTCTCGTTTAATCAGCAACCACAGGTGATTTCGTCGCACCGTACTGTTGATAAACGGAGCATAATACTTTTAACGACACTGTAAAGTTCTTACACTCTGTTTACCGAAAGCACAATGCGCAAATTTTGCAATAAAAATATCACAAAACGTCGTTGAACATTATTGATTATTTCATTATATTTAATCCAAAATATAAATTTGATAACTATTTTATTTACGAACATTTTTTTGTAAAAGGAGAGATATAACTTGTTTTACAAGATTAATTAGTATAATTATCAAATAATAACACAGCATTTCTCTCTCTTCTTTCACTCTTTTACGTGTTTGATAACCATATATTTTTAATTCAATCAAAAAAATCTAAATCATAAATTTTCTTACCTTCTAATTTATTTATTTTATTATTTTTTTCACGTATATTGTATATTATATATCTTAAATTTAATTTTTTTAAATTTAATCTCGTAGTTACTTTAAAATGTCCAGATTTTTAAAAATATGTCTCTTTTTCAACACACTATTACATCATTTTTATAAAGATGATTTTTAACTATTGCGTCTTACGCATTCTCGATGATTACAAAAGTATCGATTATTTAATCGCGAAAAACATTATTCGGCCTTTATTATTCACATCCGTTCTGACAGGGAAATTATTTCGATCTGTTGTTTCGTGACTCGATTTCAGCACTGAATTTAAGACACGAAGTATCGTCGTTCCTTATGACGACTAACTGAAGTGCCTGATGACAGTCCACGATATGGAGTATTTATTTACACCGTATACGAGAGTGCCCTAGACATAATATAGCCCGGAAATGCGATAAAGGGTGTAAGTGACAGCACAAAGAGAGGCACACTTGACGCATAAATTGTTCTTCTTGATGCGTTAATATTCAATATAAGTTTTCTATTATTTCACATTATTATATTTTATATTATTATAAACTTTAGTAATTTATCTTACTTTTGTTTGAAAAAGAGAGATAAAAAAATTGTGTGACGAAACTTCATCTTCTAACTTTGACGCATAAAATAGAATAAGATTAATATATGTAAAATGAATTAATTAAATTTTATTTTTTTGTTTTTTACAAACTTAATATAGAGAAAGTAATGATTGATGAATTTCTTCTATGCTTTTTCTAGATCTTCTACTCTTTAAAAAGTTAAGAAGTTTAAGTAGAAAATAAAGAAATAGGAAAATCAAAGATCTTACATAGAAATAGTAATAAATATTTCAATTTAAAATATAAAAAGTTTATAAAAATAATATCAGAATTATTCTGAATAATGTAAATTTAATTTCGATCATATATTTTTTTAAATATATGCATTATAAATATAAAAGTTGAATGTTACCTTTAAGATTATTTGATAGATCATTCTAGCTTCTCTCACAATAATAATAGCTCACTGAGCGATGTCATCGCTGAGGGAAGATCAGTAGAAATATCTGGTCATTATCGCGATATACCTGATCGCATTCACAATGATCAGCCAGGGTGGTCGAGGAATAAGCTTGCAGCTACAATTGCGCGAGAACGAGTCGGATAGCAGACACCATATGAATGGGTCAAAGTGTTATCCGAAACCGCCATCGGTCTTATAAGTAAGATTTGCAACGCTTTACAATACTTTTTTCAAGGATTTTTTAATGTGTACCATTTGCGTAATTAATTTAATATTAAAACAAATTTTCATCAAGATTATGTAAATATCACAGATTATATAAATATCAAGATTATATAAATATCACAGATTAATTAAAATTGGTATATAAAGAAATAAAACGTTTATTCATTTATAAATAATCAAGAATTTCTAATTTTTCCCTTTTATATAATCTAATAATTTATATATTTCTTACATTTATAATATAAATTAAAAATATAAAAATATGTAGAGTAATTCCCTAAAATATTAACTTTAGAAGCTGATTTTCGTTTATTGTATTACCAGTAAAAAATTACATAAAAATGTAATAATATTTTTAAATTCTTAAAGAGTTATTTAATATATCATTTATATATATCATTATTATTTAATTTATATATATGATTATCATTTGTATATTGTATTAGTAATAAATAATTTAAACTTTTAATTGAAAATTGTATGTGCAGATATATTAATATTTTTGACAAATTTAAAGTAGAGATGACGTTATCATTCAGTTGCTTTTTTTTCACGCATGGACTGTTTCACCGATGAGGTGCTGTCAAAAACAGCTAATCTTGGGTACTTGTACAGTTTGAACAGAGAGAAAACTCAGAGATGTCATGGCCTGCTTTTAGGTGATTCCTGAAAGCGATACTCTCTCTATGAACATTGAAAATGTGGACATAAACTACAAAGCCAATGTCCATGAATGTTCTTAGAGGGTATCATGTGCACAATTTCTGGTTTCGTTTCGTGCTATGTGCACGAAATGCCGGTAGTACCAGAGTATAACAAGACACTCATGTATATAAATTGATAGTAAATAAATTATGCAATCGTGAAAGATACTGTAATCTTCCAATGTAATGTTTAAAGATGAAATAAATATTTTTCTATATTCATTGCCATGTTTATATATTTTTATTTACAAAACAATCTTAACAATCTAAATATAATTTGGATTGTGAGAGAACACAAAGTACAACAATCGAATTATAGATGCAAATAATTAGCATAACGAAAAGATTCATGATAAATTGTTTAATAAATAATAAATTTTAATCAATAAATTAAAATACTTCCATAACTTAATATTCCGCGTTAATATATATTTCATAATATATAAAATATTTCAGCAGCGAATTATCGAAAACACGGCGTTCGACTTTGACAATAAAAATTATAAACAGTAGCGCTCTATACGTTATCACTTTGTCATCATTCGCACGGTGACTCTGGAGTAATAAAGTAGTGGTGAGAAACGTTTCGTATACTGTAATTCTTTTACTAAACACGATTACGATTAGTATCGGAACATAATTTGCTATAAATATTAACAAAATTAATTAATTAAAAATTAATTAACGACATGAAACTGTATCGCAACAATAAAACTTTATCGAATCGCAATAATTCATTATTGCGATTAAGAATTAAAACAGGGAATACATAAAAGAGGATAAAAGAATTAATTATGTTATGATATTTATCACTGATGCTTAATAATATTCTTTAACAATACTAGAATTAACTATATTTCGACCAATACTTTAAATTTTCTCAATCCTTATTGATTAAACAATATGCAATTTAATCGAGAATCGATTAAATGATAGGAATCCAAGATATTAAATAATCACTTCGATAATTGCGATCTTTACGGACAATAATAATTATTTTAATACTTAGAGTCACAAATATATATCATCCGTGTCACTTTATGGTTCTTGACAATCTAAATATAATTTGGATTGTTGAGAGAACACGAAGTAAAACAATCGAATTATAGATGCAAATAATTAGCATAACGAAAAACTACGTGATAAATTGTTTAATCAATAACGAATTTTAATCGATAAATTAAAATATTTGTATAATTTAATATTCCACGTTAATGTATATTTTATAATATATAAAATATTTCAGCAGCGAATTATCGAAAACATGGCGTTCGACTTTGGCAATATAAATTATAAACAGTAGCGCTCTATACGTTACCGCTTTGTCATCATTCGCACGGTGACTCTGGAGTAATAAAGTAGTGGTGAGAAACGTTTCATATACTGTAATTTTTTTACTAAACACGATTACGATTAGTATCGGAACATAATTTGCTATAAATATTAACAAAATTAATTAATTAAAAATTAATTAACGACATGAAACTGTATCGCAACAATAACACTTCATCGAATCGCAATCATTCATTATTGCGATTAAGAATTGAAACAGGGAATACATAAAGAGGATAAAAGAATTAATTATGATATCCATCACTGATGCTTATAATATTTCTTTAACAATAGAATTAACTATATTTCGACCAATGCTTTAAATTTTCTCAATCCTTATTAATTAAACAATATACAATTTAATCGAGAATCGATTAAATTATAGGGATCCAAAATATTAAATAATCACTTCGATAATTGCGATTTTTACGGATAATAATTATTATTTTAATATTTAGAATCACAAATATATTTCATTCGTGTTACTTTATCGTTCTACTTGATAATCTAATAATTTAGGATGTGAGAGAACGCGAAATAAAACAATCGAATTATAGATACAAATAATTAGCATAACGAAAGGCTTCGTGATAAATTGTTTAATAAATAATCAATTTTAATCAATAAATTAAAATACTTCAATAACTTAAGATTCTGCGTTAATGTATATTTTACAATTTATAAAATATTTCAGCAAATTATCGATAACACGGCGTTCGACTTTGGCAATACAAAATATAAACAGTAGCGCCGTACACGTTACCGCTTTGTCATCATTCGCACAGTGACTCTCGAGTAATAAAGTTGTGGTGAAAAACGCTTCGTATATTATAATTTTTTTTGTTAAACACGATTATGATTAGTCTTGAAACATAATTTGCTTTGAATATTAATAAATGTTAATTAATTAAAAATTAATTAATGACATGAAACTGTATTGTAACGATAAATCTTTATCGTATCGCAATCATTCATTACTGGGAACAAAAATTGAAACAGGTTATACATAAAAGAGGATAAGAGATTATGTTGCGATATTTCGATCATCGAAACTTATTACAATATTTCTATATAATATTAGAATATAATATTAGAATTAAATATATTTCGACTAATGCTTTAAATTTTCTCAATCATTGTTAATTAAATACACAATTTAATCGAAAATCGATGAAATTATAGGAAAGGGATTTAAAATATTAAATAATCACTTTGATAATTGCGATTTCTACGGACAATAATTATTATTTTAATATTTAGAATCGCAAATATATTTCATACGTTACTTTATCGTTCTACTTGATAATTTAAATATAATTAGGGATATGAGAGAATGCGAAGTAAAACAATCGAAATATAGACCCAAATAATTAGCATAACAAAAGACTGCGTGAATTGTTTGATAAATAATCAATTTCAATCAATAAATTAAATACTTTCATAATTTAATATTTTACGTTAATGTATATTTTATAATATATAAAATATTTCGGTAACGAATTATCGATAACACGATGTTTGATTTTGGCAATATAAAATATAAACAGTAGCGCGCTATACGGTGCCGCTTTGTCATCATTCGTACGGTGACTCTCGAGTAATAAAGTAGTGGAAAGAAACGCTTTGTATATTGTAATTTTTTTACTAAACATGATTACAATTAGTATGGAAACATAATTTACTATAAATTTTAATAAAAATTAATTAATTAAAAATTAATTAGCGACATGAAACAGTATCGCAACGATAAATCTTTATCAAATCGCAATCATTTATTACCGCGATTGAAAATTGAAACAGGTTATATATAAAACAGGATAGAAGATTATGTTTTGATATTTCGATCATCGATGCTTATTATAATATTTCTTTATAATATTAGAATATAATATTAGAATTAAATATATTTCAACCAATGCTTTAAATTTTCTCAATTTTTGTTAATTAAATACACAATTTAATCGAAATCTTATTATGCAAATTTAAATTTATATACTATATTTCAAAATAAATTCTAGATTATATATATATTATATTATATATTATATATTATATTATTAAATGGAGTGAGAGTAAAGGATTTGAGAGCTTTTACTTTCACTCCATTTAATTATTTTTTATAGAGAGCTTATTAATTACAATTATTATATTATATTATATTATATATAAAAAAAATTATATATAATATAACCCTCCCATGGGGTACACCTTGTCGTGGTGGGAGGGCTTAGTACTTGGATGGTGCCTTGAGATTTATTTTAAATTTTTCTATTTACGATAAATCTTAAGGTGCTTGAAAGGGAAGCTAAGTACCCTTTCGCGTCGTCGGTGCTGTCAACGTGCCGCGGACGGCTGCGCTTCGTAACCGCGTTTTCGCGTTATAGTATTATCGCGTTATCGCGTTTTCGCGTTTTCAAAATCCCAATTTCGTTTTTGTCAACGAGTCTCTCCTTCCGACGCCAACTAACTGGGATGTTTCATCGAGTCGTTGCTTTGCGACGTACTCGCGCCTTGTGCAACGTGGCACTTGGTGATGCCGGCCGCGCAGAACGTAGGTCCAGTATAAAATGTACATGGGCGCGCGGGTTCGAGCTTCGCGCTCGATCGGCTTAGTGATGAACACGCTCTGCTTCGTCAATTGATTTGGCCCGAATCGGTTAGAACTCGATCGATTGTTCGGAATGGTCGTCAATGGGTCCCTTCTCTTTGCTCGTCTACCCTACAGCCACACGCCTAGCGTGTGTTAACCCTGTCGAGGAGTCGAGTGGATTCCCCTAGGCACGATTTTCGCTCGGTAAAAGGGGTTGCCTCCCCATTTTCTAAATTGCTGAATGTTAGCTTTTAAAAAATGTGGGTATCCTCTTCTTTTACCGTCTATCAGCCTTGTGTACTGCGCTAGTGATATAGCATCCGTGCGGGTCACTTGAAATCGTGCTTAGCGGGTCCAGGTTCGATACGAGATAGGATAATTATGCGCGAAAAAGAGCTGGTGAACTTTATTTTCCTCTATTCCGTCAATCGTTTCGTCTTCTTTCCGGTTCGGGCCTAATCTTTGCTCGTTGTAACGTTGCATTCCCGACCTGTTGGCTCGAATTTGATTCTCGCGAAATGAAATGGGATTTTCGCTCGTACCGAAACCGGGAGTGCCGTACACAGTATATATGTATTAAATATATACATCGCGCGACCAAATTTTTAATCCGAATACCGAAGTAGTGCGGGAGTGCCGTTTAGTATCGCGCGTAAAATAACGAAAATAGCGATATAAAAATATCGCTCGTGAGTGCGGGAGTGCCGTTGAAAGTATCGCGCGTCAACAACATGAGAGGAGGAGGAGGCCTGGGAGAGGCATCTTGCATCGGCGGAGCAACCTGATGGTGAATATTTATTATTTGTATATTAATTGTTATAAATCGTACGCATAATAATTCGATCTTATTATTTAAATGAATTAAAGAGAAAATTAGAGAGAAAGATTTTTATAAAAGTTATATAAAACTTTTTAAAAAACTTTCTTAAAAAACAGTTTTAAAATTTTATAAAATTTTTCCACACGTGTTTATCTCTGCTTATTATTTTACACATCGGATATAAAATTCCGCGCGATAAAAATTTTTTGAAATATTGATTGCATTTTGTGAGCATTAATATAAATGAATTTTATATTTGTATGTTACAGACAACTAGCTTCGATAACAACAACTCCGCTGTTGCGCATCAGTGCCGGTGAGTGAGAAAAACTTTTATTTAACTTTAAGGTAACGGATTCGTAGAGATTGTAGATGTAGATTGTAGATTGTAGATTGTAGATTGTAGATTGTAGAGTGTGAATTGTAGTAAGTCCGTTGCCTTAAAATGGATGAGCTAGGATAGATTAAATTAAATAGCTTTTAATAAATTCTTTCGAAATGCTTTGCATCTATTGCGAAAATATATTAAAGTATTAATTTAAAAAAGAGAATCAAGAAAAGAAAATTTTTTTGTAAAGACTTGACTAGTTTATTAAATCAAGAGCACGCATTAATAATTTTAACAATTTTATCAATTTTTGATACTACTTTATTCTTATAACACGCACTTATTTTATTCTAATTTCTTATATCATAGCTCATCCATTGTAGAATTTGTTTGTAGATATTGTTTTTAAATTTTACTTTAACTTAAAATAAAGCCAAACGATTAATTAATTAAATAATTGGTAATATCATAAAAGTTATACACACACATGAATTTTATATTTTATTAGAAAATATAGTATATATAGAAATTTGTAGTAATTTGGCTTTATTTGAGTTAAAATAAAGTTATATTCAAATATTTAACAAACGATCGTAAAATCGAGCGATCGTTACGATGAGCGTGAAATATTTACGCTCATTTGCCAGCATAATTAATCGGCAAAAGAAGGAGTGTTTATCTCCTTTTTCGATCTCTGATTAGAGATCGAGCAAGAAAGTGGCCAGGATCAACGAAAAGTAAGTTCAACACTGGCCTGAAGAAAAGCTTTACGTACAATAGTACGTAATGTCGGACATTTATTCACGCGGTTAGGGCATGCGATTAGAGAATGTGATTAGGGCACGTAATTAAAATAGACGTGATTAGAGATAGGCTTTCCTCGAATAATTTCACTTAATCGAGAAATAGGATTGTTAGGGCTATTAGATGGTTATTAAGATTTTTTAATTTTTCATTCAAAAAGTAGAGGATTGTTAGGGCTAACATAATTTTTATAATTTTAACACAAAGAAATACAAACCATAATAAACCATAATAATCCAAGAACTCGAAGAAGAGAATATATTGGATAGAAATGCATAATGATTGAAAATAAGTAGAAACTAAAAGACAGTGTGCATACAATTTGTTTATTAATAATAATACTGTTTTGTTATATTATATTAAAATATTTGTTATATTATATATAATTATATTAAATTTTATAATTTAATACATTATGTTATATAAAGTATTAAGCTTAAAAATATTATACTGGAAAATACATGAAAATTATAATAAAAATATATAAATGTTGGCTATATTAGATTGCAACATGAATTCTTCATATTTTATAATAAAGAAAGAGACATTTAAAATATTTTGCAACATTTATATTTTTCGAATCTTAATTATAAAACCTTCAGAAGAATCAGTGATTAATTTAACAAATTCTATGCATGTATTAATAATTAAATTTTTAAATAATTAAAAAAATGATAATTATAAATGATAAATATCAAAGATCAGTTTACTGCTAAGAAGATTTATAAAAATACAGTTAAAAATATTTTTATCTCACAGCAGGCATTCTGTGTTTTGTAAATAAAACTATTTAAATATGATAATAAATATATAAAAAAATATTTATTTCATCTTTGAACATTATATTGGAAGATTACAGTATTTTTCGCGATTGAATAATTTATTTACTATTAATTTATTTACTATTAATTTATATACAGCGTCTTGATATACAGCACTGTCGCTACTGGGGCATTCGTGCAGATATAGCATGGATCAAAACCAGAAATTGTGCTTCTTATATATTACCCTCTGAAAATATTCGTGGACATTGACTTAAAAGATGCCAACAGATGCCGACACAGAGCATACGGTGTGATTGCTTTCAACTTCCAACGCATAAGAGGCATAGAATTTTTAGTAAACAACAGAGAGCAGTATAATTTAATACATATAGGTAATATTATTGACATTTATTTTATTCGCAATGTTCGAAGCGCATAGCATCAATGCAGAGCACAAGGATCTCATACATGATATTGCCTATGATTATTATGGCGAACGCATGGCAACATGCTCCAGCGATCAATTTGTTAAGGTATAGTGAATAAAAAAACAATAATTTTTTTCTGTTTATATTTACGAATTCAATCTTTATTAATACATATGAATATTAAATACAATTAATCTTTTTCTTTTTAATAATATCGTAAATATACCTACTATGAAATGTATTGCAGGTCTGGGACGAAGATGAACATGGAAATTGGCATTTGACCGCTTCTTGGAAGGCTCACAGTGGCTCAGTTTGGAAAGTCACTTGGGCACATCCAGAATTTGGTCAGGTTCTTGCTACATGTTCATTTGATCGTACTGCTGCTGTTTGGGAGGAAATTGGTATGACAGAGATTATTTTTTTTATAGCTTGGTATCATTCATCTATCATATCTTTTTTCTCTCTTGATAGTTGGCGAAGGTTCTGGACCAGAGGCACGTGGTAGTAAACATTGGATTAAAAGAACAAATTTAGTTGACTCACGTACCTCTGTTACTGATGTAAAATTCGCACCAAAAACTTTGGGTCTTTTATTAGCCACTTGTAGCGCAGATGGATTCATTCGGATATATGAGGCACCAGATATTATGAATCTAAGTCAATGGACGTTACAACATGACATTAATTGTAAACTTTCATGTAGTTGTCTTACATGGAATCCATCTCTCTCAAGGTAAGCATATGTATTTATTTTTAGCTTTAAAATTTATGAATGTGTTTACATAAAATATAAAATGATTTTTTACATATAATATAACATTCTTACATTAACATTAGAAAAAATAAATTTTAGACTACATTCACCTATGATAGCAGTTGGTAGCGATGACTCAAATCCATTGCTTGGTGCAAAAATTTTTATTTACGAATATTCTGAGAGCAGCAGGCGTTGGGTGAAGGCTGAGACATTATCAAGCATTACAGATGCTGTTTATGACATTGCATTTGCTCCTAATTTAGGCAGAAATTTTCATACGTTAGCTATAGCCACGAAAGATGTACGAATAGTTACTTTGAAACCAATACAGTGAGTTTATAAATATTTAAAGCTAGGTAAAAAAACTGCAAACAAGTTAAGGCAATAATAAACATTTATTATCTTATTTTTTTAGGGACAATATGCAGACCGGTGTATCACATTTTGAAACAAATATAGTTGCACAGTTTGATGATCATTACTGTACTGTATGGCGCGTTAGCTGGAATTTCATGGGAACGATTTTAGCAAGTTCTGGTGATGATGGCTGTGTTCGATTGTGGAAGGACAATTATATTAATCATTGGAAATGTATTTCTGTACTCAAGGGAGATGGTACTCCAGTTCAAGGTGCCGAAACTCCCGTTTTAGCAACTCCACCGAATTCATCTACACCAGCTCAACAGACACCGTCTACCACCAGGTACTATAAATTGGGTACCATCAGTCATCCAAACCAAGTACCTTGGCATTAGAAGATTTGTAGAATAAATCATTGCCAATTATTTTAAATTTATTGATATGTCAGTTTTTATTGGATAGTAAAAATGTGTGAAGCGTACATTCTCTTTGTTATAATAAATATTGTAATTTATCTATGTTCTCCATTTATGTAAGTCCTTAGTTCACATATGTATATATTTAGTTTTGTTTATATGTTTATTTATATACACAAATTACATATTTTTTTAAATATTGGTTCTATTTTTTAAAGCAATCACAAGTGTTAAACATTTAAATCATACAAAATATATTATTATAATGTTAATTTTGTACTTTTATCATGAACTTATATTTTGTGTGGAATCAATTTTTCTTTTTTTTATTTAGACGCTTATTTAGATGGTTTGATTGTCATATTATTGTTTATTATATTCTTAAAATATTGAAACATCGACCACAAAAAAGCGCAGTTTTTATTTGTAATATAAAAATATATGTAAACAGTTTTTGAGGATATGAATGGAGGATATTGAATGTCATGGTATGGATTTGTATTTGTTAAAATCACACAGATTCAGAAGAAAATTTCTAATATACTCAAATTTTGATAAATTATTTTTTACTATCACAAATTTACCACCGAAAGATTTGTAACATACTTTTCATTAATAAATGCTATTTCTGTATCATGAATTCCTTTTTATTTTCTCCTCCATTATTCTGTCAATTTTTGTCAAAATTAGTTATTAAGATAGTTATTTATTTTCTAAAAGCTGCAATTTACCACAATAACAGTCTCTTTCGTTGCTTTGTTATTATTTTGGCACGTAAGCAATAGTAATTTTACATCATATGCTCGTTGAGGACTTAGACTTTTGCATTTGCTAATGTCCGATTTTTTCTTATTTTTTTTAAATTTTCTTTAAAATCTATTTTTATCATTTCAGGACTATAAGCATAACTACAGTCACGGCAGAGAAGCCGACACTTACCGTCATGTGCAGTAATAAATGGCAACCACCTGTTATAAAAGGGCGTTTTAGTAAATCAGTATGGCTGGGTAATCCCAGCGAACCAACACCGCCACCGTTGCCGTTTATAGCAAAGAAATAATTGAGAAATTATCTTTTGCAATCTAACATGCAATACCATATAGTATTATTTGAAATAAGTGCGATATATATATGTGGATTAATTTTAATTTGGTTGTGATAATACGTAATTTTTACATACCTTTGTACGATAATGCGAAATTATTTTTAATGCAATTCTATTTAGTTTCTCATAGTGACTTTTGAATGTATATCGATAAACAGATTGTGATATATATATATTGAAAACTAACGTATATATAAATATGCATATATATATATATATATATATATATATATATATATATATATACATAGTTATATAAACTTAACTTTATGTTTGATAATATTAGAAATACTATTTTATTTTAATTTTATTTTTTTATTTTGATTTATTAAAATTAAGTTTCTTTATATGATCTCGAATTTGCGAAAGTATTCTAATATTATTAGTATATAAAATATTTTGATAATCATATTTTTAGAAATGTTTGATTGCTGAAATAAAAATCTGATTTTACTTCTACTTTTGAAAATTAAACATATATATATGTGTGTGTGTGTGTGTGTGTGTGTGTGTGTGTGTGTGTGTGTGTGTGTGTGTGTGTGTGTGTGTGTATGTGTGTGTGTGTGTATACACATACGCATATGTATATATAACATATAATCTCTTTTTTTTAATAAAAATGTCAAAGATTTACATTTTTATACTCTTTTATCTTTTATTAAAAATATAATTCGTTCTTATTGTTGCATTTATAAATTACATTCAAAGCTGAGAGACTTGTTGTAGCAGCAATCAGCGTATTATATATATTTAATTTTTTTTAAGTTCCTAGAAAATTACATGTGCGCTTTTTATTTTCTTATATCATCTAATAAATTTCAAAATTAAAAACATGAATGTTTGCGAATATACAAAAGCGTAATCATATCGATGCATATTAATATAACATCTTCTGAAAAAACGTCATTTTATACATGTTATTTTAAGAATAAAAAATAAAATAAATTGCATCATGTAGGATCATCAAAGATAATTGCAGTATTTATTAATCTATATATTTTAAAAAATTCATTATTATGTCAACGTGTGCGAAATTAAAATAATCCACAAGAAAATACCGTAAAACAAATATTATTGATTTTCGCGTATTATTATAAAATATTATTCAAATTTTTACAAAATTTTATAATATACTGTTGTTCAAAATTTTATAACAATATTATATGTTTATGTCAATATATTATATAATATAATGCATTACTAAAAATTAGCTAAACACATTTATTTCAAATTAATTTCGATAAATGAGTTTTTAATGCTGAGTATGTATGTATGTATGTATGTATGTATGTATGTATGTATATACATATAATATGCTTGTATATATATATATATATATATATATATATATATATGTATATGTATATGTATTTGTTGTATATATGAAATTTGCGTAAATGACATAAATAACTAATTTCAAAGCAAATATTTATATCGATAATATCGGACTCTTTTAATGTATTGACTGTGTTCCAATATTCACTGCCAGTACTAAAAATCTATAGTGTACGTTACGTAAATTATAGATTTTCAGTACTAGCAGTGAATATTGGAACGTAGCCCTTTATCTATTATGTTGTGTCCATAGACATATTAAATATTAACATGTTAATATGTCTATGATTTGCAAAGTTAATAATAACATATTGTATAATTAATATCATCAATATCTTATGCGTAATTAATATACAAAGAACTAATGATTCACATAACCGAACAAGTCAGAAAAAGTGCTTTGGATGTGATACGATACAATCTTTATGCTGCAGGTTGTGTAAGTCGTTTTAATATTTCTTTGCAATTAAAAGTTTATAATAATAATAGCATTGAAACATGATAATATACCAAAAAATCTGCACATAAAAGTTTATTTCAAAACATAAATAAAACTTAAATATTCTTTTGTTATAAATGTAATATAAATTTAACACGATACGTATATAAATGGAAATTTATACATTAAAAAATTATAACATTAAAATTCATAATTTTCCAATTTGCTTAACTTTTATATGTAGCAAATATACATTGTATTTCTTTTTCAGAATACTTACATTACACGAGTTGTTTATTTTGGAGAATATCATGGAACTCATGAAATTTTGCGAAAAGTAATTGTATTACTATAAATTCTATTTTATAACTCAGAATTTTGCAATTTCAAATACAATAATTTGCGTAAATAATTTTTATTAACGAGAATAGCGAGTGAAATTCATAACTTTGCGTTCTGTAAAGAAATATTTTAATATTAATTCTTTGACACAAGAGTTCTCTGATATCATTTATATAGTTATTAAATAATAATAATTAATTTTTACTATAATAAATAATTTCTTTATCATATTATATAGAGGATGGAAGATATTATACATGATTTACACATGGATTATAGTGACATGTCTATAACAGGACTATTTCTTGTCTATCCAACGTGTTATGTACACGTATTAGAGGTATTCGAGAACACTCAATATCTTTATATCATATGCACAAAATATTATATATTATAAAAATATTAAGATAAATTATGATTATATTAATTAAATTGTAAAATTTGTAAATTTTTTAATTTACCATCACAACAATTCTTATTTGTATCATCTATTCAATTATTTGCTCATGAAAGATGAGCAAAATAATAAATAAGAAATAAATGATAAATAAGATAGAAATTTAATTTTCTTGATAAGGCATGGGAAGACATTATTTATAAACACTACGAGCTTATGTATATCACGGAGAACAATGAATGCAAATTTGGGAAAGCGATTCCTTTGCCTTCATATCATCATGTTCATCAAGTTGGTGACCCGATATGACGCATATATATTTACATAAAAATGATCATGCAAAATGTATATCGCGCTTTCAGAGATTTTTCACGAGCTGGTGCCATGTTTATACGATACCGCCTACATTAATAGGGACTTTAGAAGACCGTACATTAGAGGACATTCAAAAACAAGTCTCAAATTGCTTAATGAAGATATACACATTATGTGACTACATAGCGAAGATAGGTTTGGATGAAAAGGTTCGTAGAAATGTAAAATCCTAAGGGAGCTTATAAAGTATTTTTTTAGTTAGCAAAGAGAGAGAGAGAGAGAGAGGGAGACGAAGCTTTAACGAGGCTTCAAAGAATTGTTTGAAGCGATTCCGCGAGTCTGATATTGAATGAAGTTAAAATTTTTTTTTTAATTTTGTTTGATGATACAGCTTTATGCGATTTTACAGTCGATCGACGTTCAAGACGTGCTGCGGAATTTGGGAGACAAGGCGGCCCAGTACCTACCCGAAAGCACAGTCCTCGAATTTCTCTTGAACGTAAATTCGCCTGTTTTAAAAACAATCGAGGAATATATGCAAATGTATTCCGATATGTCACCTAGCGCGTTTTGGGACGGTAAGAATAATATATGTCTATTTTAAGGAAATTTCAAATAGCAATAATATTAATATTAATTAATTAACATTAATATTAACATCAGCATGAATATTAATATTGGACATTAGTGACGATTCATTGACATCTTTGTGAGGATCGGAACTAGAAGGGGTGCAATAATGCACATCGTCGCGTGAATAAAAACGATTATTTATTTCAGAATATTTACAATATCAAAAAAACATTCTCTGGTATAAGGGTACATGAGACTCGTGTGTATCGAAGAGTCCTAAACTAAGTACATATACAAATTTCAATCTGTTGTCTTGCACAAATGGCAGCTGATCAGATCCGGTCTCCTTATTATAACGTACAGGCAGTTAATGCAACGCATTCTTATTCTTAAAAAAAGATATCCCCTGTATTTTTAATCAATATTTAAGTAACACGCGGAAATGAGGCCGAGGGTGAACGGCACACGTCAGTCAAATATATGTATATATTCTGTCTTCATTAAAATTATCTCCGTGCTTTATGTGCGATCGAGAAATATCTCGATACATATTTTTCAGTGCTGGGGAGCAGACAAATATCGTTTGATCATTTTACAGATAATAATATATGGCCACCACCTTGCAATATCATGCCACGCGATGTGTTCGACGAACATGGTCATCGAAAAATTTCATATGATCCAAACAGCTAAAAATAAACGTGCTTTGGAAGTCAACAATTATTAACAAGATGTGAGAGAAAAATAATAAATTATTTTTTTCTTCGTAAAATATAGCAAATAAAATAAGATTAATGAATACTTTTAGAGATTTTTTTTAGAGATCTTCTGCTGAAAAAAAATTGCTACTATTTATAAAGTTTACATGATTTTATAATATGTGTGCATAATGATAATGTATAAATGATTGCACACACGCACGCAGGCACAGACACACACGAATAAAGAGTAGAAACTTTGGCAGTTTGAATCTAGATTTTATTGTACGGTTCTCGTGACGTTTTTCTCATTGGATTATAAACTCTCTTTTTAGCGTTATTTACTGCATACACAATTATAATTATTATATGTGCAAAAGTTATAACAAGAGGGGAAGGGAGAAGGAGCGAGGAAATGGGGATGAATGGACTGCGCATTTCAACGATTACTAAAATTCTCTTCGATAATGTACATTCACAATATTCCGACATCAATTCCATTAATGGCAATAATAATAATAATAATAATAATAATAATAATAATAATAATGATGATAATAATAATAATAATAATAATAATAATAATAATGATGATGATAATAATAATAATAATAATCAACGATTTGTCTCATTTTTAATGATCTTTTGAAACGTAACATTTAAACGATCGAGAAAATAACATTTACTTAGAATTTCTCGGGACATTACGGTTTGCTTAAAATTATGATTTTTATCATTCTCATTTTTTAATAACATCAAGTAATTCTAAATATTCCCGATCATTATCTATCGTTTTCTTTGGAAATATATACGAACACATGTGTTTCGTACATGTAGGGCCGCCTCTTCTGCATAGTTACCTGTATACACATATAACAAATTGCAATACGACGACGCGACTGCAAATAGTCACAACCTACATTCCGTTTATGGTCAATTGCAAAGTTTCAATTTGATAGACAAATATAGAAGTATATAGTTTCAATAAAACATTGACTTTATTTTTAACATTGTCGCATCGAAATAAAATTGAATTGAAATAAAATTAAGATTTTTTTTAATTTAAAGATTATAATCTTGCTAATAGAGAGATAAGTTGATCTAATAGTTAATATACAAAAAATTATAATGCGATTTTTTAAAATATATATCAATAAATTTTGGCGCTTTTGAAATATAAAATAATTTAAAAAATAATTTTATCTAAAAAATCTTTGCCTTATTTTTCTGGAATGCTTTCCGCTATAATACTCGAAAAAAATATGCGATATAGCGATTATTTCGTCGATAGATCAATTTTATAATTACATTGTCGAATTCTAGAACGATATACATGTATACTAGGATTTCATTTAAATATAGTGAACATCAAAAGATTATTAGAAAGATATCTTCTTTCTTTTTCTCTCGCATTACGCACACAGCCATGTAGAATAAAATACGTTCTATTCCTCACGTGAATCCTTGCAGTCGCAGCAAGATCGTCGCACCAATCGAGGAAGCGTAAACCTGTACGCAAAAATCAATCCACACAGATCGAAGCAAAATACGGGTTATCACTTCTCGCAAAAAGGAGAGATTCTTTACGCGCGCGTTTCTCGCGTGAAATAACTTATTAAATGAACCGTCCAGCAGTCGACTGCTCGATATCAATCTACACGTTCAGTTCTCATCAGCTTACCTTTCGGATTGGTAGCGAAAGGTCTTGAGCCAATTGGCGACGAGAGTATTCTTCTACCGTACGGAGGATATAACAAGGCCTCCTTCTTGGTGATCCTTTTTTTTCTTCTTTTTTAAAGCTATATAATACAAAGAGGCTAAGAGCGGTAACCTCTGCCGAACGAAGTACCAACAAGATTCACAAGCGTCGAAACAGGCAGTAAGTTAGAAGTGCTATCGCGATTACCACATGTTACGGAAGGACGCCTTCGTAATGCGAAATGCATCCTCTTTCTATAGAATAAGATTCAAGACTTTGAAAAACAACGTTCATCATACTCAGTACATTTACTTCGAAGGAAGTCGTTACTTTATACATTGTACAAGAGATACTTGATTTTACGATAATTCAGAATACTGCAAACTGAGAGACAGAAACGCGATGGGAATATTTATATATTCCTTTTCCCTCTTCCTTTGTTTTGTTTGACTGCTCCGTCTCTGATTTTTGTACGTTTCGACCGATACAAACGATATGTCTCTGATACAATTCTTCGCGATTCTCCTTCTGTTTCCGCATTCAACATCATTATAACATCATTATAAATAATAATCGCCGCACGCGCGACGACATACGCTGATCATCTCTCTCAGTGTACGTTATTCTGATCTGACGCCTCCACGACCACTTAACGCATATACATATTTATACTTACATCGACTAGACAAATTGTACAGTGTTGTGTTCATAGTAAAAGTGGGAATAAACCGTAATATACGCGACTCGTACAAAATATCTTCCGCGTCTCGAGATATATACAGGAGTGTGCACGGCGAACTTTTTTCTTTCGCTTGCACATGCACACATCGTAAACTCACTCTACCACATTGCAGAAGCTCGTCGAGATTCCACCGGGGCACAGTCATGAAGCTACGCACGAAGTGAGAAATGCCGGCAGAGCAATCGGTTCGTCGTTCTTCAGTATAAAAAGGGCACTTGATTCAACAGAGAGGCGCAAATTCGTGACGTTTTGTTAGAATGGAAACATAAACCCGTCGAACCCGAACCGGTTCGCATGCCCGAAGTGTCCCGAACAACACAGACATTTGAGAAATGTATCAGTTTAAATTTCTTACGAATCTTCCAAAAGATTTCTTTTCGGATTTAATTTTCGGATCTAGATAATAATAGACGCGCGTCTCAAATGTTCATTAAAAGCCTAAGAATAATTATTCAGCCTTTTAAAAGATATTTCAATCTTAGCGTAAAGACATTCTAAAGATATTCTACAAATATCTTTTAGATGTTCTTATGTTGTTCGAGACTGACACTATCTCATGATTGACAAACGGCGTGATTCACAGCAGTTCGCTCACGCTGCAAGTGCAGGCCCCGTGGTGGGTGTAGGGTCACACGGAGCTCTCCCTCTTGGCCATTACTACCGGCGTACCTATCGTCGCATCCTTCTGCGACTGGACTGTTAAACAGCATTGGCCGGGCATTCGCGTCTCGCAATCCTTCGTTACGAGAACACTGCTACTCGGACAGTTCCTGGTGACGACACCCAGACCAGCGTATAGCATCGGAGGACTCATTGTCATCGATTGCACACTTTGGCTGGGCCAGTGTTGCCTCGGTAGGGTGCACACACCACTTTCATAGACGTCACCCACTAGTGGCTGGAACTGAAATGCGCCCATAATTTTTGGCAATCAATGGATCAGTCTAATTATGCAAAATAGTCAATAATTACATGAGACAGAGAAAGAAAGAGAAAGAGAGAGAGAGAGAGGGAGCGAAGCTCTCAGTTAAGGGAATATTATCATTGTTATGTTTTACATCGCGTTCATCATTGATATTCTACTTAATTATTTAATTTAATCTCGACTCACTCATGCATATTGTTTGAATTACTTCAATTGCAGACTGACGCATACTGATTGTTATTAATACAAACTTTACTACATTATTTCATTAAACATCTACGGGATATTTGCACGTTTACGTTATTGAATCTTCAATAGAACTCACGCTTTTGTGCTTCGTCGACAAGTTGGAGAACTCGTGCAGCGGCATGCCATTGCGGATCGTGCAGTAACCGACGTAACTGCTGTGGCCGCTGATGGAAGTCACCGTCGAGTGTTCCAAAAGACTCCTCGACGGTGATGTCTCAATCGTTGATACCAAACGTCTCTTTCTCAAATATTCTGATGGCTCATCGCCTATAGAAAAAGCACAATCATGAGTCTTTTACAATCGGAAATTTCATAACAGAGTTTTACGAATGCACATATATGTAAATGCGAGGAAAATCTTTCGAAAATAATTTACAAGCATATAAAAGAGCAAGGCACTTTCTCGGCAATATTTTCTTTCAGTTATGAAGGAAAATGTTTTAAAACATTGATTTATATATAAATTATATTCGTATATTTTTTAATGTATCGTAATTATTTTTTTATTTATGTATTTTTTTTGCAGAAAAATTAACAAAGATAAAAAATTTAGATAAAAAATTTAGATTTTTCAACGTAATTTTGGCCTTGCTCCTTTTATTTTGTCAGAATTAATGCAGAATTATAATTAGCGAATCGTAAAGATACAAACCAGTGATTTGTTGCGGAATGATATCCGGATTCTTTTCATCGCTTTCGCTGAGGTCACCGCTGGTGTCGAGCTTTCTGAACGGGCTACTGGGATGTTTCTCATCCGTGAGCAGACTGCATCCCTCTCGAAATCGTAGCTCCCTTTGTATAGGGACGGCTTTCGTCTGCTTCGCGTGATCCTCCATCTGCGATTTGTTCTGCTCTTCCACGTGCGTATGTTGGACCCGTAAGACGATCATCACTATGACCGCAACGATAATGAGGGCCGTCACCACGCCGATCATCACGCTCAACATCGGTGTTAGCCGGATATTTTGTTTTGGTCGTTCTGCAATGTCAAAATAGACGAAAAAATTAGAATTACAGAAATTGATATCAGTCATAGAATTCCTCTAAATTTACGCTAGATTTACATAATAATTTTAAGCAGCTTTCAATCATTTACTATGACATAAATAATCCATTCTGATCCATTCTGATAAAAACGCTTTTAAAAGCACTTTAAAGTCTTGACATGACATCAAATTTTTAATGGATTTTATGCGATACGATAATATTAATAAGAGTATAGATGGTGCTACAGAATGATATATCATGCGTAGCGCAACAAGCGCAGCTTTTACGAGGGAATAAAAGATATAATAAAAGGTATTCGAGACTACAAGAGTTATGCTTGATTCGGTCGTGTATTTTGTTGAAATGCGATTCGGATAATGGTTTAAATATAGCGCACGTATTTTATTTTAATAGAAATATAAAGTGCGAGATCTCTCAACAATCTTTGATAGATGAATTAAAAATTACGATAACAATCGTATCGAGCAAACAACGGGAAAATTGTTTGACGGTATTGAATCGCCAATTTCTGACCCGATTTTTCGCGCGATCATAAAAGCGCCGGGAGCTTTTTACGCGGCTCACTCGACGAATTAATATTGACTCAATGGCTTTTCATCAGTCCGGCCAATTGGCGGCGACTTTTCATCCGCGCTGTATGATCGACGCGAAATTTTTTCGTAATTACTCAGACTTCATGTAAACCTTTTGAGATTATGTAATTATATATATGTCGTTGTCCAACATATATATACATATCGTACCATAGAGAGAAAAATGTTACGACTGGCAAAAAATTGTTAAGGGGCTTAAAAGAAGTCAGGAAAACTTTAAAATTTAAAATTATATACTTTCATTTAATTTATTGTCTTTTATAAGTTTTGCAATATGAGAAAAATTTTGCCTATTAATTTTATAAGGCCAATTGAATTTTACACTGTTTTTAAATTTAATTTTATTTCTTAGAGAGAAATTGATTTCTTTTTAGTTGTATCAATTTTCAATTTTCAAAATACGATCGCACAATTTTTCATGGTAAGAATTTTATGTCGCAAGCAAGAAAGTTTGAGAACCACTCATGTAAGATACACCAGATAGAATGATGGCTCTCGAACCAGTACTTCTTTGGAACTTTTAAGCAAACCGAGTATCGAAGCTTCGTTCAAAAGATATCGAAAGCTTTAGAGTTGTTAACGTTATAGCGAATCTTGTAGGAATTTTTGTACGAACATCAAACGAGTATCAAGTCACTTGAATGGGCGCTGCAGAACCGATACATAGCTTTCGATATCATTAGGTATTCGATTTCTGAAAATATCAGCTAACGTCTTGGAGTTAGAAAGGAAACAGGAATATTTGCGCATTCACCTGATTCAGATGTCAATTGTTTCTCCGGTAGCCTCAGAGTGCCGGCCTGCACCACCATCGCCTCGCTACGGCCCTTGTCATTATAAGCATAAATGCAAGCTTGGTAAAGGGCACCCGACTCCAGGTGAGTGACGCTGAAACGCGGCACCGGCGACGTCAGATTGGCACGCAACTCCTGGCTATTGCTTTCGCGCACCTCTAGCAGGAAGGATTGTGGCAGACCGCCGTTGAAGCCCTCCGCGCATCGCACGGAAAATGAATTGGTCGATGTATTCGAGGTCGTGCAATTGTGGACCATATCCGGCCGACCTGTCACGGATAAAGTTTTAAAATGCATCGCGTTTGCACGAAACTATTTGCGCGCTGGTAATGAGCACGAGGTCGCGATAAAATCGCAGAGACAATCTTTCAGTTCCCCACAAGTAGTGCCTTCGGTAACTGACATACTTTTACACCAGAGATATTAAAATAGAGATAAAATGGCCAACAAAAAGAATAGAAAAACAAAAAATAATAAAAATAATAAAGTTTTGAATCTATTGGTAAAAATTAGAGATTGATAATTTTTTTATTTTTATATCAAATTTTTTAGAGATAAATCTCTATTAAATTACAAATTTGTTTCAATGTTTTAACTAACTGATACAAAATACTTCAAAGCTTTGATAACAAATATTTGTTCAATCGCTTCAAACGCTAGTGAAGCGAATTGTAGAGATAAATGAAATGTGTTAGCAATATATCGAGATACTTTAGTTTTGCAAGTCAACAAAAGCCTCTTAAGATTATTAATAGGAATATTAAGAGAAAAGCCTCTTAAGATTATTAACATTAAGCTCGCGTGTTTATATCAAGTTAAAAATATAAAAGATTTTTTTTCGCTTGTACTTTTTTTATAAAATTATTGGTTTATTATGTAATTATAATAAAAGCTAATAAATATTCTATATTTTTATATATTATAGAAAAATAAGCAAAATTGAAATATAGAATATCTTATCTGAAATCTCGTTGATATATTCTTAGAGTAAAAAAATTATATAAATATAAATATAAATTAATTCTTGAATATGTTAATGTTTGTTAATGTTAATGTTTGTATTTGTATAAATGTAAATTAATTATTTGATAACTCTTCTCAATATTTTTAAAATTCGTTTATACCTATTTTTTATGCCGCTGTTAAAGTGTGCTACATTTTAAACAAACTAATTATATAAGCAGTCTAATTATGTAAGTAGACTCTCTTCAGCATCAGCGTGTTCTAAAGTTTACTCTAACTTTCGATATTACGTACTTTTCTCGCCAAGATGATATATAGTCTCTTATACAGACGACGGAAGAAGCAGCGTTATACAACATATCGTTTCGCGTGCAGTATAGTCGCGAATCAGGGCGTGATAGTTGCCCTGTAAATCTGATTCACGGTTCGCTGGAATACAAGAGTCACTTGTAACCGAGTCGGCTGTAAAGATGCACGGTTGTCTGTGTGGTTTTTCCTGCAGAAGTATTAGCTGGTGATACTTTGCGACTCGTAACAGCCGACTAAAAGGGTAGGAACGAGACGGTAACAGGAATATGGCATATTGTGTCGCGAGAGAGGAGAAATAAAGAAAAGGAAATAAGCAGGAATATGCCGAGATTGTTCTCGCGTTCATGGTTGCTGAAAAATCACAGTGCTGGACACCTGCTACCATTTCGCGGTTCCTCCATTTCCTTATCTCTCTCCTTCTTTTTTCTCCCACTTTTTATCTGTTGGCGTTGAATTTGCTTTTTTTGCGGTGTGAAAGACGAAAACTGTTTTCTTTTATGTCCCAAATATATATGTTCTTGTTGCGCGTTTTCTTTGCATTAAAGCAATTTGATAGCGAATCGCGACTAATTGGTAACTCGAGCATCAATATCGGCAGAAATATGACCATTATTGGGAATAATGGGAATGTGCCACTGTTATGGATTTCCGTTAGAACTTGCATGAATTTTCTAAATCGCGTTTTATGAATAAAAAGCAGCAGCAGTATTAGATTGTTTCATTATAACAATTTTTATTTAACATATAAACTAACTTTTTTATGTTATATACTAGCGAGATGTGAACATATATATGCATTTTTTTTAAGTTTCATACATCTACATATTACAAAAGCTTCCGATATTTGAAAAACTTGTGATTTCAATATTTTATTTTGTTAATTTTTATATTTGGTGCTTTATATAATTATAATAATTTATCGATTATATTAATTTTGGAGCCAATTATGATTACAAGATTTCAAAATTTTAGATAATTGAACAATCCCAACAGAGCGACACATGCTACATCTTTCCAATTATATATATTAAGATTTGAATTAGTTATTCAATTACGTAAATTGAAACTTTGGAAACTAGGAGCGAAATCTGAATCCTAAATTAGCATAAAGTTGTAATTCTCGGAAGATTTGAATTTCTCAAATGAAAACTATTAGCATTGGATTTATCATCGGTTTTATTAGTTTTCGAAAAATAAGCGGATTATATGAAAATCTATTTTTTGGAGGCATACATTTTTCTAATTTTCTAAATCCGAGAAAAAGTTTTAATCTTCTAAATCAGAGAAAATTATAATCATTTTATTTTTATTGCTACTTTTTTCTCTTTAAAAATAATTTTTTCTTCCTATCCGCTTATTATTTTTTTTTTCACAAAAAACAATCATAAATTAAATATGACCAAATATTTAAAATTCTTAACTATTGATTTTTTGAAATTCTATGAATAATTCAGAATTCTTATCTATTGATTTTTTAAAATTCGTGAATAATTTGCACAATTTTATCACGTCATGTCGCAATCCCGTCGTGACGATCAATCTCCTTGATCGAACATTCACACTGCATATTGACGGCCAGTTTCCTAACGTCGATTCATATTTTCACCAATATCATGATACGGACATGAATGAGAAGATACTTTACCAGCTGGTATAATGTGATAGACGCAGGGCACTTGTTGTTGGCCGATATGATTGCTAGCCCAGCAAAGCAGTGTGCCATAATCTAATTCTGTCATTGGTGTGTATGAGACGATGGAGGATGTACCGGCCCGTGCGATGTGACCGGCCGCAACATCGATACTCTCGGCAGAGTTGTTGAAGGTCCATTTGAATTGCACTTCCGGTGGATTTGCATCCACTTGACAAGATATATTCGCCTTCTCCTGTTTTGCCACGCCATGGACCTTAGTCTGATTTGGCTTGCATGTAGGAGCGACTGCAAACATGAAAGTCGAACAGCATCGATAAATAATTAGATCATGCGGATATGAATGATATTCGTTCTATTTTTATATTCTCGCGCAGCTCTCGCTATTGCTGAATATATTAGAATTTGATTGACAGTTAGATTTATTAAGTTTCTCATGAAAATCTAATAAGAAAATAATTTGATTAATCAAATCACATAAAATATTTTATTATTACTTTCGTTTCAATTATTAATAGATTTTTTCTAATAAATTTAGAACTAACATATTAAAATTATTACAGAGAAGATTTAAAAATTATTAAAATTTAATATCTTGCTGATTCAGAGCCACATATTATATTTCTTTAAATATTCTCCTGTGAAAATACATAAAAAGAGATATTCTCTGCAACTTATTTAAACGAATAAAGCTGAATTTCCATAAGTATTTTAATTTCGATGTTAAATAATTTTATAGCTACATTAAAATCAAGACATAAAAATTCAGCTTGAAATGTGTCATGCAGAATATTCGTACTTTTTATTATAAATAATCAGACAATAAATAATTTTTTTAACTTTAAATAATTTCATAATAAATTAATAAAACTAGAAATTTTCAAAATTTGTCAATTTCTTTTTATTGCCTTTTTTTATAACTGACTATGTGGATATTATTGCATTAATAACGCGCTTGTAATTTTTAGCTACAAATTTCTGTATCAAATACACGGGAGTAGCTTTGCTGTAATATGTTTCATAGCGAATCAGTTCTCACTCACGAATCAATTCAAATATTGATTAGTAAAGCTGTTACGATCCGTGAAATATTTCGATATCGCGTTCGATAATCTGTACGCGCAAACGGACAAACAGGTACTGGTTACACACGCAATTCATGAGGGACATTCGGACATATGCACGTAAACTCGGAATTAAAATTTCACAGTGAAAATTTACGAGAATACTGAATCTTTACGCGTTATAATCCATTATTAATTAAAGCCAGCCGAACGAAGCGTGTCTGTTTTTCATTACGCTGTCCATATCGTTCTCGCGTTACCATTTACGTTCTTAGCATGATAAATAATTGAAAAAATCGTTTATTTATCACCGAAGGGAATTTTAGTAGTATTTTAACAATTTGCATAATAATCCATGAAAATCCGATTATACGTTTCACATTGAGAAACCTTAGATGATATTTTTTTTTGTTTATTAATTAGGAAAAATTATTGTATAATTAATTTTGAAAAAAAAAATTAAATAATTCAAGTAGCTTTACATACATACATAAAAAGTTTCAGAATTATTTTAAATATTTCTTATATGTATACGTATATTTTTAGTGTAAAATTATTTCACACCGAGGCGTCTGACCTTTTCAGTATCTTACTACTAGCAAATGCCGCGATACGTACACATCACGTTGAGATAAAAGGGTGAGCTTTCGCCGTCGCCCTCGGTATTATATCCCACGCACGTGTAATTGCCCGCGCTTTTGCGATCGACCCCCTGCAGCACCAGGCTCTGGTTACTGATTATAATACCCTGCGTGATGTTGTGATGGAGTGCCTTGCTCTGGAAGAAACACGATAATTGACGCTTCTCGCTGGTAGATTGAACCACCAGCCTTCGTCGTGTCGGGGCGCGAGAATTATTTTCTGCGTGTGTGCATGCGTTCCAGGGTGTTTGTGTTTGTACGTAAACAAGAATCTAGCCGTACAATCTCCCTCGTCAGAAACGAGAGAATACAGGAGTGCTCGCAGCTCGGGTGACGAGAAGTTATTATAAAAGTTTGATGCTTCGAGTGCCGAAGTTTGTATTCGGTCTTAACGTAAGCCGATGCTCTCGCGAGCGAGTACGGGCATAATCGAGCTTGTTAGCTGGCGAGAGACCAATCTGTTTACGACACTTGGGTTTTAGAACTTTCCGGGCGTGGGTTATATGGACGAATTACTCGCGACGAACATGGTTGCGTATCTTCAAGATTGATTAATGATAATCGCAACGATTCTAAACGAAGAAATATACACGAGATAATATTCTCGTAACACGATCTGCGAATATCTTGTTTTTCAAGAAATTTTTCCGAAGATATTTTACGATAAAAATACTTATTCGAGAAATTTAATTAATCAAAAATCTTATTTTCTAGGAACCTCTAACACAATACATGATTCAGAAAATAGCTTGTTGTACATTTTACTTTAAGGTAATTAAATTTCTGTAGTAACTTTTAATCCTTCTGTCAATGCATAACTTTTCATAATATTTCCATTAATATATGAGTATTTTCTATATATTTTCAACATATTGCATTGCGACAATTTCTTTATAACAACGACATAAGCATTCTTTTTCGTTATATTTTAGGGAGTTTCTGAATATATAAAGTTTCTTTGTGTTTTGTTTCGGATGGAGAGCATCAATTTTTGACATTCAAATCGCTTTTTATTCGTGCATTGAGAGAAAGATTAAAAAGTTATTTTCTTTTTTATCTGTATACTGTGTATTGAATTTTACAAACACCAAGATACCGAATAAAATAAGTAGATTCGTATAAAATAATAGACCGAAAAAAGAAAACATATATATTGTCCTGAATAAAAATTGTATTCTCACTCACCTGATGCCGCCATTCCACCTTATAAACTGACGGTTCGGCCTGTATAAGGCAATCGAAGTATACGTCCGTGCCTTCGCGTATTGCGTTAGGATTTAGTGATGTGCCGAGCTGAATCTGCGTCTCCGGCGTGTCTGTGAATCACAACCTTCGATAAACCGTCAAAGTCGGTTGGATTCGTCTGAATAAATAAGGAAAGAGCGCGCGCACGGTCCCCGGAGGGAGAGAAGACGCAGTCGAGGAACCGTTACCGTTTATAAGCTTACATTGTATCTGGAGTATCCAGCCGTCCTCTATTGGCGCGGTTCCCATGATTTGATTTTCAGCTTGACACGACAAGTGTCTACCGGCGTCTTCTTTCGTCGCTATGAAAGATAAAACGCTGGTGGTCGTGTTCCCATCGGCGGAAGTCTGTAACAACATTATGATAACGTTCACCGGGGTTGATTCCGCCGTCCTGCCGGCGCCGTTCTGTTCGCTGCATTTATTCTCTTTTTTTTTATCGAAGCAATCGCCTATCTACCTTCTACGTTGTGTCGATGACGTTCAAGCCCTCATATATTAAAAGCATATCTATCACCCAATCTGGAGGGTTGGCGCTAACTATCGCCGAAATTCTCGATCAATCTCTCGTTATCCTTCTCGAGGGATCGACCTATTTTCCAAAGAAGTAGCTTTTATCTTTTAGGGATCGGACCTTCATTACATCAGGTTTGACTGGTAACTGATTTATTCAATGTATGTATTTCCTCTGATTTATTTTCACGATTTGTTTAACTATGTTAAATGTCTGTGTAAAAATTAAATAAGAGATTTTGTTCTTTTCTATTTTGCTAGGTTGCTTATATTATTTAGATTCTTGATTGTTTTTTTCTAATCTAATAGCGGATCTATCATCTATCAAGAAACTTTATCTTATATGTATATACACGGACAATGAAACTCTTAAAGTAATACCGATAATATAAACGCATATATAGATAATATACTTTTTAAAGTGCTTTATTATCATTTTATTCATAAATCACTTCAGAACATCTCTCTAGCACAAATAAATTTCACTTCTCTCTCTCGAGATATTTTAAAGTTGTTTATTATTTTGTATAGCAATATTATGTAGCATATTTAAAATATAAAATTGGTTCTTAGAAATTAGTATATAATTAATAATAAAATTATATAAATAATAATTATATTATTAATAATAATTTAACAATTTTTCTAGACTTTATTTCGATTTTTAAACTAAAAATAGAAAGAAAAGAATTATTGCATTTAAAAAATGTCTTTTATAAAATTTACAGATTTAATTCGACGCTATTGCCAAGTGCAAATTTGCTCTTCAGAACTTCTTCAAATAGAAGACGCCTCTAAAAGATCAGATGCGCATCTCCGCACGGAAAGCCGCGCCCGAGAGGGACTTTGGATTCGATTTACACCATCAGGACGCGCACTCAATGCAATTTGCAAACCCGACCTCGGGTCGCACAGCTTCTTAAAGCGACTATAAAATAAAGTTTTCGGTCGCGCACGTTGTCCCGCGTAATTGTGCGTAAATTATCGTTATCGCAGGGTCGCCAGTCCACCGCGCGGTACGAGACTCTAGTAAAAGCGTCATTAGGCGACAAATAATTTAAATCAGAGAGAATGCTGCAACGATCTTCCACGGCAAATTCACATTCTAATCAAGGCGAATCAACGCTATAATGGATGTCCGTTATATATCGATTATAAATATCCTTTTATTGTTATGATTCGATCGAAAATTATTTTTGTCCATTCGTACGTTGAAACGTGTACAAACGCGTGTGCAAATATGTGCAAATAAGTAAAAACCGACAAAGCTACCTTTTTCGTAAATCAATTATTTGCCAGTTCGGTAAATAAACGCGTTCGCCGATTGATAGCAAGGATGAGTAAATAACATGAGTTAAAGACTACGAAATTCGTGTTTAGTCGATTTTGATCGTAAAACAAACATAGAGCAAACCGCACAAATTTGTTTTATTTCGAAACTATCGATCAATATGACGGTATATTCGCCTGAATATTCTTTTTTTTATTATAAGTCTGAGTACATAATTGAGAGGCTTCCAAGATATTAGTGAGAGAATCATAAACGCAAAATTTATATTTTTCGATATATTCTGCACTTTTTACTTTGCGATCATTATTATTAGATAAAAGTATATAGAAAAAATTATATTTCGCGTGCGTATCTCCAATTTAATTTTAAAATAAATTACAGTAAATTCAGTAATTCAGGTAATTTATTCATATCATGGCACATGTGTAGAGCTTTTTCAGCTTTGCCGCGAATCATGAGTTTAGCGGAGAGGTTGAATTTTATATTCCCTACTATCGCTCATATTTTATATTTTATCCAACATATCGTTAACTTCATGACAAAATCATTAGCAGCTTTTCTCCATTTAAAAATCCGCTTGTGAAAAATGAAGTTTATGGATTGTAAATTAATTCTATTTTACGATGCGTAAATTAAACATTCAAATCTCGCTTAATCTAATGAACCGGATCTGCTAATTATATTCTTCATGTAAAAACCGAAATTATGCGCACAGTGGCCAGAAAAATGCATCGCTTACATTATTCATCTCTGTAAACGAATAATAAAGCAATATTTCATAAAACCATCAAAATATCTCGGACGATTTTTTAACTTTTCCGTGATGTTTGCAAGAGACAAGCATACAAAGAGCAGTACCTTCAATCTTGCGCGGGATGCGCGACGTGGCTTCGCGTCCTGTCGCGCGATTAAAAAATAATCGCGGGACAGAGGCGCTTGTGTGCTCGCGAATAATAAATTTCGTGTCTTGTTGGGGGAATAAATCAACGGCAGAAGACACGCGCGCTCTAATGTCGTTTCAATGGCGACGGTGGGGAGCCGTTTTGCGCAAAGATAATTACGAAATGAGATGCGCTATCCATTAAAAATATATTTCTGGTTGCGCATTCCGGGAGGGGTCGAATCGATTAACGTAATTGCTGCAATTTTGCAGACGATACGCGGCGGAGAAAAATACTCTGAAAGTGCGAAGCTCGTTTACGCGAAAGGCATTATGTATGCCACTAGTAGCTACTTTTATGCGCGGTTGCGAAATCGCGCAAAACCGAGAAGGATGAAGCTCGAAAATTCTTGTCGAGGAACTGCGTAATTACGGAGAAAAGAGTGAGAAAAGAGGAATGAGCCTCTCGTTCCTTGGTCGACGTTTAATCGTGGATTATAGCGATCCTTCCAAGTTGCTATTTTCCCTCTTCTGGCTATCCTCTGCGCTTCTATGTTTAACTTTCTTACGTAAGCAACGAAACAATCTGCAGTACCGTGTCGTGTATCGACTTTGAAACAATATTTTCTCTGTCCCGTGCACGAGCCCTTCGTCCGTCGTCGTCGTCGTCATCGGCGTCCTTAATCCGCCGTTCCCCGGCAAATATTTACGTCGTCGTCTTAAATGCGGATCAAAATGCGGATACGACGCGTATGGCGTTGTTTGCGCGTTTGTGTGCACCACCCGGTGTGTTTTATCGGGGTGACAGTACGGAGTGGGGAAAATCGAAGTAGAATAAACAGCGACCGATGCTCGATTTTGCCCGACAACGGGTCAATTTATTCGAAAGTACGTTCTTTCATTTCGTCGCTAATCCGTGTTTCTATTGACGTTTGTTTGCTTTGTATACGAAATACCTTCATCCGTTTCTCGCAACAGAAACGCCGCGCTCCGATTAGAGCGCGTTCGATTTACGTTAAATCGAAATTTATTTTGCCACGCGCGTTCGAAATGAAATTGAATGAATTAATGAATTGTATCGAAATCGAGAGGAAGAGAGAGAGAGAGAGAGAGAGAGAGAGAGAGAGAGAGAGAGAGAGAGAGAGAGAGAGAGAGAGAGAGAGAGAGAGAGAGAGGGAGAGGGGGAGGGAGGGAGGGAGGGAGGGAGGGAGGGAGGGAGAGAGAGAGAGAGAGAGAGAGAGAGAGAGAGAGAGAGAGAGAGAGAGAGAGAGAGAGAGAGAGAGAGCAACTGAAAAAGAGAACGAGAGAAAAGGTATGCGTACGCGAGAAGAGTCTAGATCAAATATCGTCCCAGCAAGATATTCCTCATTGCTGGCTGCATTATAATTATATTTATCAATATTTGATGCGCCTTTTCATTATTGCTATTGATTATGACAATTTCATAACGATGAAATGTGCATTTTTATCGGAATATAAATCAATAATATTACGTTGTATTAAAGCAATTTTTAGAATTTTCTCTTTCATTTTTTCAAAAAGGTACATGTGTCAAATTCGAATCTACGATTTATTATATGAAGAAAATCTCATATTGTGAACAAAACACTCTCTGATTGTGCTCAATAAACAATCACAAGATAGCCAACAACTCACTGTTATGTTTTTTCTCTCTGAAAGAATTGAGAAAATTGATTCTCTTATTATTAATGGATCTATTACCTGTTTCTGTTTCATATCTGGCATGCCCATCAATATTTTAAAAATTTGTTAAAAATCTTCACGTGAAAAAATCAAACAAAGGACAGAAGATATATATATGAGAAAATACAATTGTAAATTTTAACAGAAATTGTGTCAGTTATATCATTTTAAAAAAAGATGTGTTCGCATTTCGTTTAATTTTATCTTAAATTTTTTTATTATCATAATAATTTCTTATCTTTAATGTTATAAGGATACGTTCCGACGTTTACAGCCCTTCAGAATGGCTGCATTTCCCATCAATTAAACGTAATCCTTGTACCGTGCACGGCACTGTAAACGGCAGTCAATCACGTAATCGGTCGTGCCTATCGTTCTTTTTTTGCGCTCGACGCTTAATCCGCGGAAATTGAACGTGGAAATTACAGTTCCACCGCGATGAAATTAGGAGACACATGTCAACCGGACGAGTTGAGACAATGCAAGAGATTAATTGTCGTCTTCCGCTAATGCGGAAATTAATTCGATGCTATCCATAAACATAACTATGCAAATATTTTAAACTTAATTTAAAAAAGTTAATTTAATATTTTTTAAAGATATTTTAATTTGTATATTTACTAATTCTTGTATTTATTTTTAAAAATTCCTTGGTCAACACAAAGTTACAAATTAAATCAAGAAGGAGGATTAATAAATTAATTCTTTTGATTTTTTATGGTACATTCCTTTAGAGGAAGATGAAATGAGTGTATTAAAAAGAATCTGAAAATTTAAATACGACAAAACTTTCTAGCGGTGATAAATGCGTTTTTAACATATTCGAAAGAAAAAACTACAAAGTAGATGCATAATTCAAAAACTATTAATTTGACATTTATAATTTAGTTTATCTATTAAAATACTTATTCACGTGTGACCGCAGTTTGATAATTTCAAAGTATCAAAACACATCAATGTATTATAACTAATATACACATAATAATATCTATGCTGTCGATTTTTAAAGAGAGATCCAAGAAATATATCTTTCATATATTATTATGTTTTAGAAAGTTAATTATTCAGTATGAGAATTTATGAGAGTTCATTTAATAGAGTTAAATAAGTTTTAAAAATCTAATAAGATGAAATATTCTCTTTGATAAAGAAAACAGTTGATAAGAGACAAAGAGTAATATTATATTTAAAAGATGTGTTTCTTATTTAAGATAAGTTTGACTTTATGCGCGGTCTGGGAATAGCCAGGTAAAATGTACGTTCGCACGGGGACAAAAATTGTTTCATCTAGGGATTCACTTACATTCTCCTTGGAATCCACTAAACGCTGACCGTTTCTCCACCAGGTGATGCCGGCTGGTGGCCTGGAGCCGGAAGTTGTGCAGACCAAGTCATACTTCTTACTTGCCGACAGCGGCTGATTCGCACCAATTATCTTCACTTCCAGCGGGTTGACTGAAAATTATTTAATTCAGTCATATTTAATTCTAGTTGAATAATATGCTTGATGGATATCTCCTCTATCTTTTTACAAATATGAAACATGTTCACAAAGGATATTAAAATAATCCATAAAATCTATCATAAATTGTTATGTAATAAAATAGTCTTTTGATTTCGCATTTCGTTGGACTTTATTAGTGTCTTTTTAATGGTCGTTTTTATTCAATTTAATGGATACTGTAGAACGTTTACATTAGCTTTATTTGTTTCAAATTTCAAACGAGAGGTATTTCAGGTAGCAATTATATGAATTTCTCTCGATAGATAATTATATTATATTAAAATAAATAGGAAATAAAAAATAAATTCAGACAGAAAATACTGAAGCATGCATAAGATACGCGTCAAATTTGAAAACCTCTTCAGATATTTCTACCTACACATCCCTTTATAGTCATATACTTGGTATGACGAATTTTAAGCGTGGGATCATAAACTCTCCCTCTTCTCATTAATCCTACCGCCCGCGCTCTCTTTTCCGCTCTCTTACTATTTTATCACGCGCCATGTATCTTGCCGCACGATAGCTCAAGTACTATAACAAAGTGAATAACTTAATTTAGAGCGGAGACAATTAATCTTGCGTCCCATCTTGCGCGCTCTTTTTCAGGATGATTCAAGTGTTTTCTCAAGGTGACTTAGCAATGAGCGTTTGAGGATTCTTCCCAAAGTTAAAAAAAATTGCCATACAAATTTGTACGAATATAGCATAATCGATAAACGTTCATAATATATGATGAATATCTCTTTTTACCTGTAAGCTCAAAGTTTCTCCAAAGCATACAAGATTTATTGTCACATGAGACTTTCTTGAGTTAAATAAATTTTTCCAAGTTCCTTTTCTTCCGTTCTCTCTCTCTTTCTCTCTCTCTCTCTCTCTCCCTCTCTCTCATATTTCTCTTTCATATTTCAACGAAGTATTTTCAATTTACCATTTCTACTTCTCGACTTCTGGATGTATTGGTCTAAAAATTTCGCAGTAATCCCAACGTCTAGCAAGACAAATTAAAAAAGGTCCGCAATTAATTAACCCCACTCGTTGTTCTAACGTCCCCGCGATAGCGGCGCGAGTAAAATTAACCGCCTGGCTGCCCTCGACTGCTGCTCGTTTCTTCGTTATAGCGGATCGCTGGCCACAAGACGCGTACCTTCCTGCACGGCAAATTGACGTTGATAAATCCTCTTTGTTATAAAGCGATATATCATCGGCGGGCACTTTGCCGTGCACGAGGAATTGAAGTTATTCAGAAAATTATCGCCAGTTTTAAGATGTAGGTGCATATGTGTATGTGTGCGTATGTATGTATGTATGGACATGTGTATGTATATGTGTGTGTCGATGAACACTATCGAAGCATCGATACTGAATAGTTTTGGCATTGAAAAATTTCTGCTCAATATTATAGTTAGATTGATGCCTCTAACATTTAATCTCTTTTCCTCCTCTTTCCACGTTTTAAAGTTACTATAATTTTACTCTCTGTTATATAACTCGGGGAATGGAAATATTAGATGTATTTCAGAAATTTTTAGAAGTTTTAAAAGTTACGACGATATTGGCTCCTGAGAATGGAGATAATATTGAATGGAATGGGTTCTTATCGCATAGATTCTTATCGCATTCGATATTGGATATCGCAAGTATTGGCAGAAGTTTAAGTTAAATATTCGTACTCTTCGTGTACTCGTGCGCGAAACGTCGCGCTCCGTCCTCTAAATTTTCTAGTCAATGCGCGAAGAAACATTTTCGCCCCGAGTGCGTTGAACTCGGGGGGAAAATTGCGGATCCATTGCGTTGCACTCGGCCATACTCACGTAGGTTGCACGCGACGTGACTGAGAATTTATAGACGCGCGAGTAAGGCAATCGTCGATAACGGCGCAAAGTGACCATGAACGATGGTTTTGCGAACGTCGTAAGCGCCGTGCAAATTGGTAATGGCGAGTGTTGCTGCTTACAGATCGTCGATGGAGAGGAGGAGGAGGAGAAGAAAGCTTTAGTTATGGTATTTATAGGATCGCACATACATTACGGAAGTTCGTTGATTTACAGCGCGATATAAACGGCGATAAGCGTCGTAAGTTGTATGGACCGAAAATATCTGCGAAAACTATTTATCTTCGTCGTTCTTTTCAAGTAATTTACGCGTCATTACGGATCGTGGTAATTATTTGCGGGAATGACGTATCCGGACGTAACGTCAAATCGGGTCTTGAATAATATCAATCGAAATAACAGACGTGTATCCGCTCCGTAATGACAATTATTAATTGAAAAGAGCGATGTTGCATTTTTGCTCACCGTTTCTCTTCTACCAATCCATTCCGGCCATCCGGTATGATAAGCATAATATTATAAAATTAATTAAAGCTGATTTCTATCTTTCTGCCCTCGGCGAAATTCTCGCTGATATTATTCTGCTATGCAGTTTTACTTCCACTCAATAATTCAAGATCGATTACAAAATTATGGCGCGTGCATACGCTCCATATAACTCAATCGGTCGTAATTTCAGTTTTATCGTGAATTTATTGAGGAATAAAGCGCACATCCTGGGATAAAACGAGGATTTTGCTGGTGTTTTGGAAAATCGTATCTTATCGATTTTCAAGAACTAGTATATTATTTCTCACGCAATATAATCAATATTCATATTTACAGACATAAGAAATAATAAAAACGAATTTTTAGCAAATGGAATAATATTTTGGAAGCTTTTCATAAAGCAATCAAATTGGATTTAAAAATATAAAAGCCAACGCATATCCATTTCTCTTAAAATAGATTTATGCAGGTTATCGGAATCTTATCATATAGATTCAACATTACAGGCAAAAACACAACCAGTCTCGATAACTTGTACGGAACTGGAAGACGCACAAATATTCTACTTCAAACAGAAATCCCACACAATATCTCTTTTCTTCCTGAGAACTTTGGCTTATTGGATATATGGAGTTTCTGAACTTTTCGATTCAATCAAATGGTGATTTTTATCATAACTGAAAGATACAAAAAATTATATATATTCAATACATAGTACAGCTTATTTTAGCCCCGTTGTTCTTTTAAAATAATAAAAAGAGATTTATTCAAAAATTTCAATTCGTTAAATCTTTAATTTACGTATTCTGAACTAGTGTAAGATTAATTTTTTATGGATTACAATATTTTATTGTGAATAATTGCATCGAAGAAATATAAGATTGTCGCCGGTAATTTAGTCTCCTTGACGGCATTTTCATTCTAAAAGAAACTCGTTTAATTGTGCCGCGACCGCGCCTAGACAGCCTGATTGCCGGAGTGATATTTCAGGCATTCTAACCCGTCGCCACCGGCAATAAGGCCGCCTTGGCTCCGACATTGCCGCCGCCGCCGTTACCACCACCTTCCCCAATTTCCACCCCCTGAGTTACGGTTCGGGACTAATTTACATGACTTGCACCGAACTAATTCGAGCGGCGGTCGATAGCGCCGACTAAAGGGGTTAAAACGACGTTTACTTTATTACGTAATCACGGGGAAACCTAATATTGACAAAGGCGCAATGGGGTGGTTCGGCGGCGGCGGCGACGACGGCGGCGGTGGCGGTGCGGTTCGGGGGTGCCTCACCGATCTCGCTCGCTCCGCTTCAAAGAGCGTGGCTACCGTCCTCGTTGTGACGCCGCGAGTCTTTGCGCCGCAGTTTGTTACTTACGATTTGCAATTCCACCGGTGTTTGAGTTTACGGATTGAGATTTATGGACTCACGCAATCGGGTAGGGCGAGACGAGACAAGGTGACTCGGGCGAGCCGGTTCGGGCCATACGCGCGTGGCTACGTGCGCGTCAAGATACGGGAAGCGTCTCGTTTGCATCTTAATCAAGCGACAATTTCATTAGCGATAAGTTTCCGGTATGCCAGCTTAATTAATGCGAATATAATGTCGTCGCAACGTTTAACCCTTTGAAGTGTGACAATCTTATGTCATAGCCATCGTCTTCACAGATCATCCTCATGGGATACGTTCATAGGCCATCAGGATAATCCGCTTGCACTTATCGACTACTATATCATATACATATTGTATATCGATAGGCAAGTTTACGAGCTCTTGATCGAATTAATCTTTGGCAATCTCCTGTTATTAAGTGGCACCGAGAAAATTAGGAAAACGATAGATTTATCTTCTTTAAACAGAATAATTGATCGACGTAGATATCTCAAAATTTACAATTATGAGTATATTTTAATTTTTGGTTATTAAATTTAATAACTTCTAAGTATAGTAAATTTAATAATTTCTAATCTTCTCTTTATATATTTATGCTATCGGAGATAATATAAAAGAGTGCATCTTTTATTTATACTTTATTTTATATCCTTCGTTAAAAATGTATACATCAATATATAACAAATTTAAATAAATAAAAAGCAAACGTTAGGCGGCTCTCTTTAATTTCCACAATTAATTAATAATAATTAATTATAATTATGTATGTATGCCATAACAGTAATTGTTTCAAAGCTTTGTTCTAGATTCAGCACACGCATAAAGTCATATACTCGTATATGTGAACTGTTGCCTTTACAAAGGGGATACCGATGCACGTGTCTTAAGCAGATTAACATGCATTGCGAAATTGTGTGTACCTTCCCCTCCCATCCGTGTCTCAGAATGTATTTTCGCTTATTCAATAATAATATTGATAATAATATTAACAAACAGATATATCGGCGGACAGGTGTGGATTTAGGGCAGCTTTATCCCCAGCGCACACGCATGCACAGGAGAGTTACAAATCATATCAACATGTTGGCGGATATTAGTGGATTTAGCTGTCACTTCGACGCAAAATTTCAGATATTGCTTCGCTATGCAAATCTGCTTATAACGGCAAGTAATCATCATGTAGGACACGCCAATCGTCATCGAATTGCGTATATGATTCGATATCACTAAAGATGTGCCA